GTGAAATAGCATGGTGAAATTTGCCCAGATGTTCCAGCAGAAGTTTGTTTCTCTTTCTTTATTCTCAAACATTATGAGATTATCCCAGATCCTTTCTGCATTGCCCCCAGTCTTGGAATTTTGCTGTGTGTGCACATTGCAGTGGGTTAGACTAGATTAGTCCTAGGGTCCCTTCAAACTCTTTGATTCTATGATTCTGTTTAATGCAGAGCTGGGTTCTCTCTTGCTGTTAAAAGGACTATTTTTTTAAAAAGTAAGAAAAACAACCATACTGCCCACAAGCACCTTGTGTAGAGAAGGTAGTGTTGACATTTACCAGTGAACGTACGGTAATTATTTTAATTAGTAAGCATTAAAGTGTACTGAAGTCCCTAGGTGCTCATATTCCCATTTTCTTAAAAAAGAAAAAGAGAGAGAGATATGGTTTTCATGCATACCACAGTTCTGAGGAATATGTTTGCTTTGGGATATTGTAAGATGTATATCTTACAAATCCTTGCAAAATGATATTAAGGCTAAGTAAGCACACTGGCAGCATAAACATCTCTTACAGTAAAGGCTGTGCTGCTGCTGGCATCCTAACTCTTAAGTGACATAACTAACCTAGATAAACCTCTGATGCATCAAAAGACTTGCAGTTTTGCTTTCACTCCACCCCTTCCCCTCAGGGATTGCATTTGAAAAGAGGGAAGGAGAAGGGAAGAGAAGTCTGTACAGAATTCTGTATAGCAGTCATAACTATATTTTATATTGCAGCATTTTCTCACACACTAATGAAATAATGGTGCCAAATTAAAGGTCTTTGAGCCCAGTGATATTGGTGGAAGAATTAACTAGCATTTAATGATACTCTAACCAAGTTCAACTGACCTGACCAAGTTCAACCTTTAGCACAGAGTAGGGAACATCTGGCCAGGGGACCAAATGAGAGTATCCAGGTCTTCTGGCCCTTGGGATTTTTATATACAGGTAAAAGTCACATCCATTGTCTGTGGCCACACCCTTCACTGGCATGTGGCCCCCAGAAGGTTGTCCATGAAGGAATGGCCCCTTGGGCTGAAAAAGGTTTAACAAGCACTACCCTGTGTGCACAACTGGTCAACTATATTCTAGAACTAGGTTTTTTGCACCAGTAATGTTATATCTCTGGCTAGTTCCTGATTCCTCAAGAATGAACAATTTAACCCCCTTCCCTAGTATATTTAATCTTTTTGAACATTCTCCTGGTCCAAGTACCTTGCTGTAAATGAGGGTCAAACTTGATGTGATATTACAGCCAAAGTGCATATGCTGTGTAGTGTAAACAGCACTTGCTGAGCGGAGCCTGGGCTGGTTTGGGATTGTGGAGAGTGAGGAGAGAGTGTTTAAGCCACTGCTGCCAAGTACCTAATACAAAGTGTGCACATTGATTCCTTTCACACAGTTAATGTCACATCTGGTTTGGCCCTAAGCTAAAGTATGTGCAACTGAAGTAATCACACATTCTTCCCATTTACCATTCCCTCTCTTTTCCCCTGGTTCCTCTGATGTTTCCCTTCTGTCTTTCTTTTAAGGTAGAGACCAGTCAAACCTGTCTTTATAAAAGCTCTGTGTATATAGACGGTACAATATAAATAATAAAAAGAAAAATAAGGCCTACCCCTTTAGGGAAGATCACAGGAGCATCTCATGGACTTGTATCGTTCCCCCTCCCGTCTGGCCATCTGCCTGCCTGGCGTGCGCTCTCTCTCTCTCTCTCTCTCTCCCCCTTTTTCCTTTCTTCATCCTTCTTTCTTTCTTACAAAGGCATTTCTTTTTCACTTTCAGTTTGGAAGCTAGCAATATTTATTGTTTAGGTCACCAGTGCTGGGGTTTGGGTTTTGATTTTGTTTTTTTTTTGGCAAACCATAACTGACTTCTAACCATGGTTGTAAATTTTGGATGTTAAGAATAGTTTAAAAGTAAGTTGTGGCCACAATAAATTTTGTTTCCCTTTAAGAAGCAACGTAATTGTGCCCATGGTACCCCCCTGGCTGAAAGCTGTTGACAAATATCACGACTGTGTGATTGGCATTCTGTGGTGATTCGGTCAGCTTTTTTTCAGACCACCTCCTATGGCAGGCTTAGGGTCTGCATATCCATTTGTGGATTACCTTATTCGGCATTAATGTATCTGAGTTAATTGTTTCTCAGTGAATCTCAGTGATCATCAGTTCTTCGTCATAAAAGCAAACCATATTGTAGTTATTAAAATAAAAATACATTCCGTTCATATGAATCTGTTCTACCTTGCTCCTGAAACATAACTTGGAACTGAAGTCTCAATAATTTCAAGAGAATTTATTTCTGTGTAAAGCCACATGTTTGTCTGAAGGGTGTGTGTGCTTAAAATGTGCATTAGAAGAAGTCTGGGGCCAACATGTCTCTCTGTTCCATGTGTGTCTGACTCAACTCACCCCTAAAAAATGGGAGTTTAGGGCAGTGTTTCCCAACCGGTGTTCCGCGGCACACCAGTGTGCCGTGAGACCTTGCCTGGTGTGCCGTGGGAGGGAGGCGGGAGAGGCGGGGCGGCGCGGCGCCCGAGATCGCTTCTCCCCACCGCCCCTTGCTTCAAAAGAGGTCCGGGGGACAGCGGGAAGCCGCTTCGCGCTGCCCCCGGACCTCTTTTGAAGCAAGGGGCTGCGGGGAGATCGCTTCTCCCGGTGCTCCGAAGCGGGGCGGGGGGCGGGAACCTGCAGCGCGGAGCGCGGGGCGCCCTTTGGAGGACGCCCCGTGCTTCGCGCAGCTGTCCGCAAGCCTTGGGCGCCTGGGGGAACTCCCCCCCCCCGCGCGCAAGGCTTGCGGGCGGCAGCCTGCAGCGCGGAGCGCGGGGCGCCCTTTGGAGGACGCCCCGTGCTTCGCGCAGCTGTCCGCAAGCCTTGGGCGCCTGGGGGAACTCCCCCCCCGGCGCGCAAGGCTTGCGGGCGGCAGCCTGCAGCGCGGAGCGCGGGGCGCCCTTTGGAGGACGCCCCGTGCTTCGCGCAGCTGTCCGCAAGCCTTGGGCGCCTGGGGGAACTCCCCCCCCCCCCCGGCGCGCAAGGCTTGCGGGCGGCAGCCTGCAGCGCGGAGCGCGGGGCGCCCTTTGGAGGACGCCCCGTGCTTCGCGCAGCTGTCCGCAAGCCTTGGGCGCCTGGGGGAACTCCCCCCCGGCGCGCAAGGCTTGCGGGCGGCAGCCTGCAGCGCGGAGCGCGGGGCGCCCTTTGGAGGACGCCCCGTGCTTCGCGCAGCTGTCCGCAAGCCTTGGGCGCCTGGGGGAACTCCCCCCCCGGCGCGCAAGGCTTGCGGGCGGCAGCCTGCAGCGCGGAGCGCGGGGCGCCCTTTGGAGGACGCCCCGTGCTTCGCGCAGCTGTCCGCAAGCCTTGGGCGCCAGGGGGAACTCCCCCCCCCGGCGCGCAAGGCTTGCGGGCGGCAGCCTGCAGCGCGGAGCGCGGGGCGCCCTTTGGAGGACGCCCCGTGCTTCGCGCAGCTGTCCGCAAGCCTTGCGCGCCCAGGGGAACTCCCCCCCCCGGCGCGCAAGGCTTGCGGGCGGCAGCCTGCAGCGCGGAGCGCGGGGCGCCCTTTGGAGGACGCCCCGTGCTTCGCGCAGCTGTCCGCAAGCCTTGGGCGCCTGGGGGAACTCCCCCCCGGCGCGCAAGGCTTGCGGGCGGCAGCCTGCAGCGCGGAGCGCGGGGCGCCCTTTGGAGGACGCCCCGTGCTTCGCGCAGCTGTCCGCAAGCCTTGGGCGCCAGGGGGAACTCCCCCCCCCGGCGCGCAAGGCTTGCGGGCGGCAGCCTGCAGCGCGGGGCGCCCTTTGGAGGACGCCCCGTGCTTCGCGCAGCTGTCCGCAAGCCTTGGGCGCCTGGGGGAACTCCCCCCCGGCGCGCAAGGCTTGCGGGCGGCAGCCTGCAGCGCGGGGCGCCCTTTGGAGGACGCCCCGTGCTTCGCGCAGCTGTCCGCAAGCCTTGGGCGCCTGGGGAACTCCCCCCCGGCGCGCAAGGCTTGCGGCGGCAGCCTGCAGCGCGGAGCGCGGGGCGTCCTTCGGAGGACGCCCCGTTCTTCGCGCAGCTGTCCGCAAGCCTTGCGCGCCCAGGGGAACTCCCCCCCGCGTGCACGGCTTGCGGTCGGCAGCCAGCAGCGCGGAGCACGGGGCGCCCTCCGTAGGAGGCTGCGGAGGGTGGCGCGGAGCTGCCCGCGCTCCAGGGCTTCTTGCAGCTCCGCGCCACCCCCCCCCCATTCCGGCGCGAAGCCGCGCGGGGCTGCGGAGGGTGGTGCGAAGCTGCCTGCGCTCCAGGGCTTCTTGCAGCTCCGCGCCACCCCCCGGATCCCAGCGCGAAGCCGCACGGGGCTCTGGAGGGTAGTGCAGAGCTGCCTGCATCCCGAAGCCTGGTGCGCGCTGAAGAGCGCCCCCGGGCTTCACGCACCTCTCCGCAAGCCTGGGGAGACCAGTGTGGCTCCCTAGGCTTGCGGATATCAGGCTGTTCTGGGGGCTGGGGTCGGGGGAAGCTTGGGTTTCCCCCGCGCCTGCCCCGTGCCTGGGGAGGGGAAATTTTTTTTTTCTTTATTCTCCCCCCAAAAAATTAGGTGCGTCTTATGGGGCGGTGCGTCCTATGGGGCGAAAAATATGGTAGTCAATATAGGCACAGAGTTAAATTTTTTAACATTTTCTAATGGTGGTGTGCCTCGAGATTTTTTTCATGAAACAAGTGTGCCTTTGCCCAAAAAAGGTTGGGAAACACTGGTTTAGGGTTTGGGAGGAAGCTACTGTAACGTGCACCCTTCCCCTTACCCCTCATTCTCAGTACTAGCTATGTATAACTGCTGCTAGACCCTGTTAAAGTAAGCCTAGCTATTCTAAATTGGCTTCCTCTATCTGTCATCTATTTATTTCAGTAGAAAGGAAACATTGTTTTGTTAAGTAGCAAAAGTGTAAGGAGAGATTTGGCTATTACTGTTTCCGATACAAAATGTAAACATTGCTTGTTTTGTGTCTTATTGTATTCCAGACCAGTCTTTCCATATGGGGATGGGGAAGCCTTGGCGTCGTGCTTTTTCTAATAACATTTGGACCATTCGCTATATTTTACTTTGCATTTTATATTCTCTGCTTCGTGGGTGGGTAAGTATGCTATTTTGTGTGTGTTTGATATATGTAAAGAAAGCATTGTACTTAAGAACGATGCAGTGTAATTAGAACTATTTTGATAAATATGTTCCCTTTAAGAAGGATCAAACAAAAAGAGATTATAGTCAGCAAGACAAGTTACTTAAATAGGTCCCCAGCTTCTTGATGTCTGCCAAGACGGAACATTGATAAAGAACCTTGTTATTATTATTCATCTGTTTGGCAGTATTATTCATCCTTTCTTCTTCTTTTCAAGATAATCAAGCTTATTTAAGTAAATTACTTCACTGCACCTGCACGTTTTTTGATAGCACATTGTTATACCCACTATGAGATAAAATTCAACCAGACCTTGACTGTGTGGAGGCCTCAGTTGAAGAGTTCAGTCAAGGACAAATTAACTATTATGAAAATGTACAACCCATATTCACCCAAGGCTTACTTCAAGACAGGTTAAAGTGAAATCACTTTAAATGCATAAATAATTTCTCTGTTTTATTTTCATCTATTCCTATAAACCCATTTCTTTCTGTGAATGCTGCAACTCAACTTAGGGCTTATCCACACTTCCATTCCTTCCAGGCACAGTCTTCACTTAAAAGCTCTGCATCCAAGCGCCCTTTTTGTTGTTGCTGCTGCTCCAGAGCTTTGTCTGCAAAGTCCCATCTTTAAATTCAGTCGGAGCAAATGTCAATCTGCAGAAAACGCAAATTGATGTTTCCTCCAATTGAGCTCTAAAGAGCAGGTTTTCACAGGGAAAGCTCCGGGGGGGGGGGGGGTGGACTGCTTCAGAGCTTTTAAGCACAGAGGTGTGCCTGGAAAGAGAGGAGCAAAAGGTAAAAATGTGAATAACTTACCATAAGTTAATACCATATTGTATTAACTTTTGCTATGGATGAATTGGTAAATTCACAAGAATGAAGTTAATTCAAAGATGTTAAGCAGGATTTGTGTTCCAAAAAATAAGTTTGTTTAATACAAATATTTTTGCAGTATTTAAACAACATTCATTTAGCACTGAGTAGGTGGAGGCTTGGGGAACAAGTTTTGGCTATTTTTTATTTAGATAGTAGATTATCTCACTGTTTGAAACTTACAATATAGTTTCATTCTTCTAGGGGCTTTGTGGTAACACTCTTGTTTGGGAAAAACAACTCAGAGACGTACCTTGAACGGTGTGAACACTCCTATCTTCCTCCAACATCGTTTGGTATTACTAAGGTAAGCAAAATATACTGGCATTATTTTTCGCAATTTATTCTCCGCAAGTCAAACTTTATTGTGCTCATGCTATCTGCCACATTTCCTTTTCAAGTTAGCAACCAAAGAAATGTATTATAGTCAATTTAAAGAACCCCCCCCCAACCTTTGTTATTAAACAACTTCTGCTGATGGTTGATATATCAATTTTGGTTATACTGAAAATGAAGTCATAAATAAAGTAAGAATCGTGAAGTACTTTATAAACAGAATAACATGATGATGTGTGTGAACTCCCAAATGACTTTTTCTCTCATGTGATTTCTCTCTGAAACTTCAACAAGATGATGCATGAAATGCGTGATAGCATTTCTGTCAGGGTGGATCAGGTTTGGGACTGTGGGGCATGTAGAGAGGAGTTTAGTGCTTTATTTCAATCTGGTCTAATCCAGATTGGAGAGCGGCACAGCTGCTATTTTTAAAGCAACGAACAAACCCAGATACATTAAATGCAACATTGCATCTTGCATATCACTTAGTTTAGCTTTCTCTCTTTTTCTAATATTGTATTTTATGTATATTTTCTGCAAATTAGCCCCAAAGTTGTTTTTGCGGTCTGTCCTGGCAGGATCACCATTCCAGACCTTTCATCTTTTTAAAGTTGATACATCTGCTTCTTCAGCTGACTTAATTGGACTTTCATAGTCTTAAACTGAAAAGCAAAGTAAAGCTTGTACATGCAGGAAGCTTCCTGCCTTTGGTTTAGATTCTAAGTTGCTAAGATAGACAAGGTATGAACAATGAAGCTCTCTTTTAGTGGATTAACTAGAAGCTGTTGCCTAAAACTTAATCTTGAATGTCGGTTCCTCTTCCTGCAGTTTGATTAAAATATGCTTAGATATATATCTGTTTTTGTGTCTGTCTGACTGTATTGATGAAAACTATACTACATTAATGTACTGTTTAACACTGGACCTGCTACAAGCTCTGTAATCTCAGTGGATTTTGATCATGGCTATCCTTAACAGCACTTCCATGTGGTTTTTAAATATGGTATCCTCACACAAAGGGTTGCTGATAGACAAAACAGAAGTACAAAATCCAGTAGGTGTGTCTTTGCTGAATCCTTTTTGCATTGTAAATGATAAGCATGTGTCAGAATTTAATTTTTTAATGAATTGACTTAAGTGTCCATTCTCTCCCAAAGTGCATAGAAGAAATGAAACAGGAAAGCAAGCCTATTAAGATTGATAGGAGGTTGACTGGCGCCTATATAATTGATGAACCTTTGCAACAAGTAAGTTTTGAAAAATAATTTAATTGTAAATCAGACTATAGCCATGATATTCTGTGACATTTGCTATAGTAAGATTTTTTTGTGGGATGCTGAAATAGGAGAACTTTCAAGCTAGTATATATTGAGTCCACATATGTTCTTATTCCTTGTCTCCTTAGGGCTGAAATAATGAGCATACTGGGCTGTATCACATTTATTTGAATATGGTATGCCTCTGACCAATTTACACTTCACATTATTTCTGGTGATAGATCAGGTAGAAATCATGTCCTAAATGTGGTTAGCCCCTTTTGAAGCGGCTTGGACTTTCTGACTGTTATCCCAAGGAACTGAAGGACTTATTAGTGTTTTCATTGGATCACATCTATCTCATATATTTATTGACATATGCGTTGAAGTTGTAGATAGCCAATACAACATGTTTCCCCCATAAGTACATGAGTATAGCCTGAAGGTGCCTAAAGCTACCATCTTACTGAAGCTAAGGAGGTCTGTTTCTGGCTAGCCTCTGAATCGGTGTCTGCCAGAGTACCACATGGAGCCCAAGGTGGCATGCAAGATGGAAGAAAACTGGGTTTAAAATGTAAGAGAATAAACTGGCTAAATGATACCTTGTCCGGATTATTTTTGCATTCCTTGTTGTGGGTCCACTTCAAAAGGTCTTACTAAAAGAGCTGGTTTACATGTAATGCTAAACTATGGTCTGAAGCAGTTCTTAGTTGCTAAACAAGCCAACTATAAAATATGTATGGTTTATAGTCAGTCATTCTACATGCTTAAATTATGCTCTGAATTATCACCAGGTAGACTTTGGTTGTTCTGGTTGAAGTGGAGGGTAGAGGGAAGGGGCAGATGATGATTTCTGTTTACTTATGATCTTTGCCCCAGACATGGTTGATGTATGTAACCAGAAACAGATAGCACAGAACTAGCACAGAACTGCAGAAGCATCAAGCAAGATCTAGAATTGAATTGTGGTTTCCTCAATTAAGTATATCACTACTCTTGCTTGCTCCCTGGTTTTTAGAACTTGAAAAATTAAAGTCTTTCTGACACTGTATTATATTTACATTATATTTAATGTAAATTCATACTTTGAAAGGACATGTGCTGCACCCTTGAGGAAATGCACTTGTGGATGTAAAGGAGAACATAAATATTTAATAAATGGTTCCCCACCCCCTCCAAAAAGAGTCAAATGCTCTATGAATCTTGAGCAGAACTCTTTATCAGGGCTAAAATATATGTTAACCATTCCATGCAGTGATAGGAACAGGCATGAATTTTTAATTTGCATACTCCCTACTCTGCTTATCCCTTCTCCATTTATGAGGGGAGGGGATTAGAAGCTTCCATTCCTTTTTTTTGCTTTTTTTGCAGCAAACCACAGTTTGCTCTTTAATCCAAACTCAACAAACTATGGTTAAAGAAAACTAGGATCCCAGACCAAGCTGTAAACTATCATTTGCTGCAAACAGATATGGAGATTTCTAATCTCCTTTATTTCCACTTTAAGTAAGAGAAGGAAAGAGGACATGTACGCAAACTTGCCCTGGGTCATACTCAAAATGCAAAATAGTTTTGCTGGTTTTTTCAAAGCCTTTCAAAGCTTGCAAGCAGCATGATTACTGAGGGAAAAATACTTTTGTACTTTTTGTACTCATTAGCTAAGGGGAAACTTCTGTATAGTGTGTGTGTGGGGGGGTGGTTTGTATGTTTTTGTAGGGGGGTGGTAAATTTGCCTTAGCACTGGGTGGATTTCATGACCTGGTGTCTTTGAGTCCTTGACATCATTCCTAGACAAATACTGAGATTAGTTTGGATATCTGGAGATTTAAAGCGTAATTTACTGTTTGCTGTTTTGTCTTAACATTTCAAGCTTTGATCCCCCCCCCCTGTATTATTCTCTACTGTTGCAAAATACATAAGGCGTTTAAGCTCTCATTAACAACAGCAAGCTTTCATATATTGTTGTTGTTAATGAGAACATAACCCCTTTATGTAAGTGCTTAATTCTAAGATTTGTGGAATTAAAATCAAAAGCAAAGTAAGCCTTGTGGTGCTATTTGTAAGATTTGAAAAACACTATTGATGGCAGTTTTACATCATAGGTACCTGTGGCCACAGTTCACTGTAGGTTTGGGGAAAGGAATTGTGAAGTTTGCCATGTTTAAAAATGCACTGGCTGCTACTTTAGTCAGAAAAAGCTTTTCAGTATTGTCATGTAACAGAAATGTAGAATAAACTAGACATTTGGGGAGTGGACTTGTGAAATCATGCAACACATGCTCCTTCTCTCTCCTGCACAAACATTCCTTCTCCCTTGATGTACTCTACCAAGAGTCGCTGTATAAATGCAACTGTAACCAACCTGATTTTAAGTAAATCAAGATAATGGCCAAAAAACACCTCACTCTGATAAGCCTAATTAAGGTCTGAGCCTTTATTTAAGCAAGTGGCTATGACCCAGAACACGAAAGGTAAAGTACTCTTGAGCCAATGTGTTCAGTGACCAGCAGCAGGAGAGCTCTGCAGTGTGATTGTGATCATGAGCACACCCAGAATTGCGATTCATGTTAGTGTTCCGAATTTCTCACGTTCTGAATGACAATTGTGTCGCACAGTAATGGCTTCATTTGCATGTTATGATGAACTATGGTCGATAAGTTATTGTAATGACACCTAAGATGGGGCTTTTGGGTCTATCTGCTTGTTCATGAAGCATCGAGGGTTGTTTTGCTCCTAACAAACTATGGTCAGCAACCCAAGAACAAACCTTGGCTACAGATTGACGATTGCTAGGAGCAAAGCAAACCATGAATCCTGATTCAGATATAATGCTAAGCCAAGGATCGTAGTTTGTTTTCTCCAAATGCTAGCAGGGAGGAGGGAAACGCACCACAAAGTTGTGTGGTTTACTGTGTTGTGTGAACCAGGCCAGCACCACAACTTTAGCCCTTATAAGCATTATTTATTTAGCACAATTTTCAGATAATGTAGAAACAATTACACACATGAATGATTTAATATTTTATTTATCTAATTTGATACAATTTTAGGTTATCCAGTTTTCCTTGCGTGACTATGTCCAGTATTGGTATTACACACTAAGTGACGATGAATCTTTTCTTCTTGAAATCAGGCAAGCTCTCCAAAATGCACTAATTCAGTTTTCTTCTAGGTAAGAATTACTTTTGTTTTTCAAAAAAATCACAAAAGCTATCCCTAAAATTATCCCAGTAGCTTACAAAAGTAGATTAAAAATGGTTCATAATGCTTCCTTGAAATATATCAGTAAGTTGCATGCAATAAAAATAGATGGTATCACAAAAGGTTGCACACATATATCATGTTTTGTGAGTTTGTGTTACAGCTGCTTGCTTACAAGGACAACTTGGCTTTTTAAGAGAGGGGAATATTTCATAGGTTCCGACCTAGAATCATAGAATTGAGGAATAGGAGGGGACCACAAATGTTGTCTAGTCTAACCCTCTGCAGTGCAGGAATATTTTACCGAACATGGGTAACTTGAACTCAAAACCCTGAGAGTTTCATGCTCTACCAAATGAGCTATCCCTGGATGTATACAAGTAATTGACATTTCATATGATGATCAACAACCTTTGGAAACTTGCCTATATCAAATGGTAGGAGAAACTTATGAACTTATTTTGTTATTTCAGTTTACTGATCAAAGAAACCACTTTTTCATCTCATAATGAGAATGTATTTAAGTGACAATTAGGTGCTGTGTAACTTGTGAAATTCAGCCAAATATTATCATCTTTATTCTGTGAAATATGACCCTTCATATCCTGGAAGTTTTTAACATTACTCACTTCTGCTCACTGAAATATAAGTGGTTTCACTGCTTGTTCTCACAAGCAGGAAGAAGTTGGACATCTTTTTCCAGATCATATTTTCAGCATTTATTAAAAATGTAAAGATAAGTTGGAGCCACAGTAGGTTAGTTGTACTTAGTTCTCATTGAAATGAATGTGAATCATTTGTCATGATTTAAATCCTTTTGGTTTCAGTAGGAGTGCAACTAGATTAATCTGCTTCTAACCCAATATGTATAGATGCTGATTAGTCATTTCAAACTTCCTTGATCTCCCTTTAGGCATTAAATGCAAGTTTCTTTAGGTGGGAGTCTTTATTTAGATCCAGTACATCATCAGATACTTTATTTCACAGAACTGGACACATTTTATTGTGTTACACAAAACAGTTTTAACATCATAACCTTCAGTTGTTGAATGGTTATATTGTTCACCAGATGTTACTAATACTTACAGAGCATAATGCCATACATTTGGGATTGGTTTTTGTTTTGTTTTGTGTCTCTGGAATAGGAATGGTTCCAGGAAAAAAATTATTGGGTCAGTTTGTCATGGGATAGGACAAAGTTCCATTCCATCCTGTTTCTGCATGGGTTTTCAAAGACAAAACTATATGTTTCCTTTAAAATCAAGAAGTTTATGACATAAAAAATTAGAAAAGAACATGAAGTGGTCCAAGGGCTGCATCTCTGTCATATTTCGATGTATTTAAAAAGTAATTCCAGATGCTTATGAGCTGTTTGATTATATGTGAGATTTCTGCCATCACATGCATTGAAATCATTGCAGCAAGTATTTCTGAGAGTGATGGGTCTGGATGACATGCTGTTGCACTATAAGGAATTTTAATGTACATTTTACATATTTATGAGTAATTGGACATCCCCTTAGTTTTAGGGGCAATTGAGTGTAAAATGCATGAAATGTATGCAAGGTTTCCCTGAAATTAACATCGCACCATCAAGACCCGGTGATGTTTGCTATTCTGATTTCTACACGTGATGGTTGGAGACCAGCACACTTTGTACTGGCTCTTAGGTGGCTGAAATAACTTATAAAAGAAACAGATAGGCAAAGTTCAGACCACCTTACATAGAAATCCGTAAGAGAATGGGAATTCAGCAAAGCGCAGTTTTGGAGCAAGCCCCTGTTCTGATCTCTGCATTGATCCTCCTGGCCAATTTGATCAAAGGTGTCTACTTGAGGATCACAGCTTTCTAGATTCATTCCTCCCTCATCCATGTGCTTGGGAGGTCTTGAGCAGCATTTTTATGTAAGCTTGCCACCTACTGTTGTATTCTACTATGTGCAACTTAAGTACTGGAAAGAATTGTTATTACTTGAATTCATTTTTTGTAACCAACAACATGCTAATATTACATGCTAATCATAATTCCTCTCTCCTAAAACAGTTCACTGTAAAACAAAACAAAACAGACAAAAAACCCTCTCCAAACAAACTCTAAGCTACTAGGGAGTAAAGACACTTTTGAGCACAATGTAGTTTACTGTTGAGAAAACATGTTTAGCATTGCATTGTCTGTCTGCTTTATAACGTTATGTCTATGTAGTATTTCTTTATTTTGAAAGGTCAAAAGAAGTAGATTGGCAGCCTTATTTTACCACTCGGCTCGTAGATGACTTTACCACTCATCTAAGAGTATTCAGAAAAGCTCAGCAAAGGATAACAGAGAAAGAGGATCAGATTAAGGGTAATGCCTACAACTTTCATATGTTGTTTTAAAATTTGTAATTAATTGAGTTGTGTAAAAGGTAGCCTACAGCTGTTTCTCAATGCATTCACCTGCTGCTATCTTACGGATAAGATTTTAGTGTGCGCATTATCTTCTTTTACAGTGGTTTTAATTGCCATAAGTGCCTTAGTTTGGCATTAAATATGTATCTACTAGTGATAAATAAATATCAGGTTTAAACATTATGGGTTCCGTTGTTTGACACAAGAGTGCAAGTTGTCTCCACTCATATTCCTCCTGATTTCCTATTCTCCTGCTCCCCAGGAAGGGTTTTCAGGGGGGCAAAGGGAACAGGAAATTATCTTTGCGGGGGCACAGTATTGTATGCCAGCCCTCTTCTGTCTTGACAGAAGTATTTGGGCAAGATAGATGCTCCTCCGCAATAGAAGCTTTCTTTTCTCTGTGTAGATAAATGTATTCTGACTGGTAGCTAACATAAGTCTGCTTGAAAAGGCAGATTAGGTGATTCACTGGTTTTGGATGCAATAGATTTGGTCTTCTGGTGATTTTCCCAATTGAAAGAACTAAGTACTTAAACTGGAAACTTGCGGTATCAGAAATACAAATTACAGTACAGCCTGTACTCTAATGGTTGAGAGAGCAGTTGCTTCCTGTCACACAGACTTCCATTTTCAAGGAAAGCAGTTGTGATTATTCTTTGTGTATGCTACCAAACACAAGGACCAGAGTCCCTGCTGTGGCCATTTCCTGGCTTGGAACTCTTGACTTCTGTTTTGACTGCAGTGGAAGTGCACACAATGTAGTCACTGAACTGAGCTTTAAGATTTTCCTCATTGTGAAATACATATCCTGTCACACATGAGAAAAGAAAATTAAATTGCCAAGCAGAATTATATTTAAATAGTTAAGAAGTTTCTTATAGAGATTCATTTGGAAAAAGAATCTCAGTGCAGCTGATGTGCTCAAATTTTTCAATTCTATTTAGATGGGGCAGAAGACCTTGTAAATACATTTTTTGAAGTTGAAGTTGAAACGGAAAAGAGAGTCTGTCGTGATCTCGTCTGCACATCTCCCAAAGATGAAGAAGGTTTTTCCCCTTGCTTTCTTCAGTTACGTTGTGACTAAATTAGAGCAGCAACCAGTCTCCTAGAAATAAACTGAGATTTCTAAGTGGATCATTGTTAATCCCTCGTATTCAATTAAGTGTACTTCTGCTGCATAGTTTTGACATTGAATTTTGTTATTAATTAGAAGTAGGAATAATGTATTTGTAACAGTAAAATAAAATGCTTTTCTATTAGTTTAGAAGTGAGAATTGTGGCTGTACATTATATATTGCAACCTAATATTGTATTCCTAGAAAATTATTACCAAGAAGTGATTTTCTGGATTATTGCCATAGAAAATGTGGTGGTTGCATTTATTGTAGTATATAATGATTTCTATTACTGCTTAAAATATTTGAAAGGAATATGTTTACCACAATATTAGATTTTGTTATCCACTGTTTTCTTTTATATCTTGTACCTTTAGGATTCCTAAGGGATCTGTGTGAAGTTTTACTGTATTTATTGCTACCTCCTGGAGACTTCCAGAACAAGATCATGAGATATTTTGTCAGGGTAAATTTAGTTTCCTACCCTACTCCAGGAGTGTCCAATACTCCTTAGCCTAGGAACTGCATGATGTTTATATAATCAGGCACCATAAGATTTTTATATCTAGATCTGTCTGGTAATTAAAGCTTTTGCAATTCTCTGTTTAATTTCAGTCAATCTGTTTTTAAGTTATAAATGACTTAGGTTGCTATCCTGTATCTACTTACCTCATTTCTGAGACTCACTTCTGAGTAGGCCATATAGTGTTGCTCTGTTAAATATGAATGTGGAGTGTAAAACAACTAAAAATGAAATGGCGTGATTAAAAAGACCATTAAAAATGAAATGGCATGATTCAGTCCACCACTGGGTACCCAAGCAAGGAAGGTTCCCACAACTAAAGCCCAGTTTTTTCCTTGCCACCACTACCACCAGACATGTATACTTATCACTTGTATATGCTCATGTTCACTCACAGTGTGTTTGCTGTTAAGGGATGGCCAGCCTGTCATGTCCAAGGCGAGGCTAGATGAAGTTATTACTACTTACGTTGCCTTCCCATATGTATTCTAATACACATACAAGGGCAGAAAGGGCATTTGGAAATATGGGTGGAGCTGCTTCACTCATGGTGAGCTAGATCATGCCTGTTATACAAAGGGTGCATACAGTATTGTACCTTTCGGAGGAGCAGAAGAAAGGATATTTTAAGAGAGAAATAACTTCTAATTCCAAACAGTCAGTTAACTCTAAATATAGAAGAGTAAAAAGAAGAAAAGGCAAGCCTGAAAATAGTTCTGAAAAGCTTTAACAGAATATTAATTTGCCCAGTAGACTGTGGAAACCTTCCTTGGGCACTGAATGAACCATCATAATTTAAACAATGTTAAAATATTAACAATGCAACATGTATATGGTATCATAGTCATTAGTTATATTAAACCTATGTTAAAAAGTAAGCAAATTAATAAAATTAATCCTTAATCTTAAAATTAATTACATGTGCATTCAGCAAACCACATAAGAACTGCTGTTTGGTAATATTTTAAAATTAATATAATCCTTGATCAAAATAAGTTTCATTGAATTAAATGTTTCTTAACTTCTGAATAGACGTGTATAGAATTGCACTATTTTAATTTATTTACGTATATAGAACAATTTACAGTTATAACATTGGCTTTGCACTGGGTGACTGTAGTCTTAATGAAAAACAAGTGCATAAGAAATGGCTGAGCTTAATTTGTTTTGTGATTAGTACAGGTGAAGGGCTACCTTTACTAAGACACACACTATGTTTTATAGGTTTTAGAAATTTTAAAAATGGTCTGCCTGACTAATTTTTATATAACATACAATTTGACTATTAACAACTTTGCATTCTTTGAATTATGGTTTGTCATTTTGTTTCCCCTGAGGAAGGTTGCTGCTGAAATGTATTTGGCAATTTATTGTTTTATTAGAGTTCCTTACACTTTTCAGTACTATTTTCAACCTTGCCTCTTTATTTTTTCCCACTCCCTTGTGTTTGAATACAGATCAGAAAGGAATTCCATCTTTAATTTACACATTTAATTACGTTTTGACTTGAAGATGGAGCTGGAATTGTGGTGGCAAGCCTTTCAAGACGCCTAAGCCCTAGAGTTCTTGCTTGTCAGTCACATCATAAATTGGGGGAGAAAGGAATTTATATTGGTTGGCCGGTTGCACTAGAGAATCAGTCAGAATGCTCTGCAAATATCGGTTTATTTGAGAACCTATCTCCCTGTGCTATAGAGGGAGGTCACATCTTCTATTGTATCCCATTAAGTACAAAGCAGAACTTGCTAATAAGACTAGGATTCTCCAGCTCTGCAGAGTCGCCAGCTATGACAATTAAACCCTTATCTTCTCTTTGAGCAGCTCAGCTGCTTCTTACCCCTGACAAGACATTTGTAAGATTACCTTGCTAAACGTGAGCCCTTTTGCGATTGCAATAAGGCAGAGAACAAGGCTGTGCCTGTTGCCCCGTCACCACCAGCAATGCTTCCCCTTCTCCCTTCCCTATCTATGTGTTGAGATGTCTGCAATAGAAAAGCCTGCTGAACACATGTAGGCACTCCATGTGTTCATTGAGCATTCCAGATCATGATGAGCTTCTGCATGCCTTCAGCAGGATTCACCTTTCTTTACTAATATTTGGATAGTGGAGCGGGGGTGGGTGGGTTGCTGCTGGGCTGATGGAGTCGGGATGGAACTGACACAGCCCTATTCTCTCTCTCTCTCTCTCTCTCTCTCTCTCTCTGTGTGTGTCTTTCTTTCTCTCCCCGCCCTCTGCCCCCATTATTATGATTGAATGGAGTAAAAGGAGCTTGGCCTTACTGCCATTCTCTGAATCAAGGGAAGATGAGCCTGTTCTAGTTGGGTGCTTTTGTGTCAGTTTGAGTTTGGATATACCGTATTTTTTGCTCTATAAGACTCACTTTTTCCCTCCTAAAAAGTAAGGGGAAATGTGTGTGCGTCTTATGGAGCGAATGCAGGCTGCGCAGCTATCCCAGAAGCCAGAACAGCAAGAGAGATTGCTGCTTTCACTGCATAGCAATCCCTCTTGCTGTTCTGGCTTCTGAGATTCAGAATATATTTTTTTCTTGTTTTCCTCCTCCAAAAACTAGGTGCGTCTTGTGGTCTGGTGCGTCTTATAGAGTGAAAAATACAGTAAATACAGTAGAACCTCGGAAGCCAAACACCTTTGAACTCGAGCATTTCGGCTCCCGAACAATTGAAAACTGGAAGTGATTGTTCCAGTTTTCAAACGATTTCCGGAAGCCGAACGTCCGGCGCAGCTTCCGATTGGCCACAGACACTCCTGAAGCCAATTGGAAGCCGCACCTTGGTTTTCGAATGAATTAAATTTGAAAACCAAGGTATGGCAGTATAGGTTTACGAATCTGCCTCTTTGAAGCTGACAAGGCTTCAAAAAGTGGCTTTCTGGAATATCTTTTTCTAGAAAAAGTTGATAGAGGATTTTATTTCTTGTTTAATTTTCTTTTTATTTGGCTTGTTTTGCGTTAGTTTTTGTTTTAGTTAAGGTCTGGCCAATTTATTGTTCCTTATTTTTCAGGAAATCCTTGCTCGAGGAATTCTTCTTCCATTAATAAATCAGCTCAGTGATCCTGATTATATTAATCAGTATTTCATATGGATGGTAAGCTTTTTACACTTGAACAGTATCTTTAGAATGTTTGTCTACGTGTATAGGGCTGGTTTACATGTCACTTCAAAGCACAGTTAAGCTAAACTAGGAATTAAAGCTGCATGCAAAGCTTGATGATGATACACCCACTTTGCTTCTCCTCCATTCCTGACACACTGCAAGGAGCTAAGCAACGGTTGGGCTTAGTGCTTACATCCGACCCCCGGCTTGTAGTCTGTCCCACTCCAAACACCCCCCCCCCCAAACTTACAATTAGGGTTTGTTGTTAGTTTACCTCACATGGTTTGTCTGGGGAAGACAAACCACGTGCCTAGATTTGGACGTAACGCTAATCTCAACCATGACGTAGCTATTAGCAGGGTTGCAGCAGCTGCAATCTTTGCTCAATACAGCATCATACTGTGTATTCACCTGTAAAACATAGTTAAGCATAACTGGTTAAAACTGAGATGGGACCCAAGCCATTATGTTCTCACTTTTTAATATACTTAAATAACAACAGATATATTGTAGAAGTTGACAGTGCAATCATTTAAAAAAACACCCAGTGATGTTAATCTCTTTCAAGGTAATACTTCCTAATTTTTTGAAGCAGCATTAGCAGGAGTGGAACATAGCTTGAAATTAGGAGAATTGTTCGATGTTAATAACAGGAGAGTGAAGATTGGGTTGTGAAGGTTATTGCTTAGAAGGTCCAATATGAAGATTTAACGAACACCCAGTTGAGGGGAACTTAAAAAGGAAGGTTGGACTGTAATGCATTGAACTATGTCTTGATATATCAGTCTAGCCTGCTTGAGAAACAGTAGATTAACATGTATTATCTTTTTCCATGTTTATTAGATTCGTGATTCAATTTGCAACTATGAGGCCTTTATGAACATTATTAAAGTAAGTGACAAAGTAGGGGAGTTGGAAGCAGTAAGGGATAAAGCAGCAGAAGAACTACAGTATCTTCGATCTTTAGATACAGCTGGAGATGGTTAGTATTTAAATTACATTTGCAAATTAAAGCATCAATAACATACTACTTGGTTTAAATATGTAAAGGACTGAGAATTCTTAGTTTGAGAGCTGATGCATGGAGGAAAAACCATATTTGCAAGTGTGTTTTCATAAAATGTTATCTCCCCCCCCCTTTGAATGGCTAGGCAAACACTGAGCTAAATAGGGTGACTTTTGATAGCATTTGTTCTCTTAAGAGGTGTACTGGATTAGAAGGCACAGACAAGGAATGCAAAAGCACCTTTTTTTGTTTGGGGTAATTCTTACCATGCTAGAAATGATGAGGGTACTTTGGTAGCATTTGTTTACCTAAAATCATTGCCTTGTCTTCTCTGCAACAACCTATGCAGTAGTCTACTTGTATTACCGTAGGGTAACCAAGGTCGCTGGTGATCTGCAGAAAGCTATGCATTAAGTTAATAGATGAACAGGTTTTTGAACCTTACTGACTCAGTTCCAAGACTCCACTTTGAAATGGACCACAGAAGATAGATAGTGGCTTTCCTAATCGGAGGGATGGGATGGAATTTCAGAATAATGGTGTTCCAAGTCTGGAACTTTTGTCTATCTAGAAGCTATATCTATTCATTCTTGCCCACCTGCAGTTCTCAATAATTCTGCACCGTAGAGCTGCATTTCTAGTGCTAGACTAACAGATTGTCTCATTTAAAATTGGTTACTTAAGCAGTTCAGGAAAGAGGCTTGAGAAGGGGATATTATGAATATACAAATGACCTTTGGTTTAAATTGGATTGTGCCTGGTTCAAGCACTTAATAAGTTTATCATTCTTGCATAAAAGGTATTATTGCAGATTGGTTTTTAGTTCTTAGTGACTTAAAAGTTTATCCAGAAAATTTGCAAATGTCACCTATATACTTTTAGTATTTCAGAAAAGTGGCCATTATTGGTAATGGTGCATATACACTGTTTTCCAAAACAGTCACATATTTATGCAATGTGTATTCTGTATATTTACTTATTTTGGCAAGCTTATTCTACTTCTACTTAGCATTGGACAGGGAAAGGGGCTAGGCAAGGGACTAGCCCCCAAAATAAGAATTAGAAATCCTGTTCATCCTAGACCTGGCTTGTGAGATTTCATAAGGCATAGACTGTAGGCATGAAAGTGTATATTTGCATCTGTAAGCGCTATATGTAAAAATAAAACCAGGACGGAGTAATTCTGTACCTCAGTAGAAAATACTGTGCAATCATGGTTGTCACAGCATCAGATGATACAAGCAACCTTGATTGTGGGGCTGAGTACCTGAGTCAAGATATAAGTGCATATAAAGTTACAGAACTGCATTTGTAACCTAAACTATAGTTTTTAAAAACCAAACGAAGAGTTTTTAATGTTCATTTAATTTTTGCGCCATTTGTTTAAAAATATTTATGATATTACTTTCTAAAAATATTTCTAAAAGCTGGCAAACAGAATCCAAAGCCAAGAGTGGCTTGATGTTATAACCCTCACTTTGCATTGTTAGTATTTATTTCAGTTAGTGAAACCAGTGACAATTTCCTTGGCTTTAAAAATAATAATCAATATATTCCTCCATTTGTGAAATCACTGCTTCAGTGTCTCCTGGTCATTTTTTTTCTGTACAGACAGCTTTAAGCAATACTTACATTGTAATACTCCAAATACTTCCCATTTTTTGAGTCTTACTACTTAGTGTGTTTGTTTTCAGATATCAACACTATAAAAAATCAGATAAATAGCTTATTGTTTGTGAAGAAAGTATGTGATTCAAGAATACTGAGGCTGCAGTCAGGAAAAGTAAGTGTGCTTTCTCTGCTAGAATGTGTTAAAATCAACCCGAGTTTAAACGTATAATCTATAACATGGATGTCCAACAGGTTGATTGGGATTGACTGGTTGATCCCTAGTAGGTTTTGGTAGGTCACGGCCGATCTTTGGCTCCTCCCTCTGCCCCCCCCTTGCCCCATCCTCTAGGTCGCTAGAACAGAATACGGAGTTTTCTTAGCGAGGCTGACTCATTAGTGATCTCTCGATGAGCACTTCTTTTCATATTTTTGACCTGAAACACCCCCCCCCCAAAAAAGGGGGTAGATCACTGCCAGATTTTAATCGTGCAAGTAGATCGCAGTCTCTTGGACATTGGATGTCCCTGATCTATAACATCACTGGTCCTCTCTCCTGGGTCACTCTTCCTGGTCCCCTGCCTCAGACCCACAGTGACATGGTGGGAGTTCCATTCGTGTGGTGCTCTTGTCAGAGGAAGAGAGCAGAGGTGATGGTTGCTGATGCCCTCTGTAGTCCCTTCCAGCCTGCCCCCCCCCCCCATGAAGCCTAGTTAGTATCAAAGCCCATTATATACCAGCTTGGTATTGGAAGAACTGCTGGACAGTTCCTGACAGTTTCATAGGCATCATCATCTTTGAATGACTTCCTCAGCCCAGTGAATCAGTTCCTAATGCTGTTAACAAAGCATAGAATGTTGAAGTGTACAGTAGAATGTTGCACAGTCCCTGCATTGTTTCCCAGTTGTACTTAGTTTGGGTGAAGGGAAACCTATGGCCCTCAAAATGTTTTTTGACTCCAGCTCCCATCAGCCCCAGGCAGTATGGCCAGTGACCAAGGATAATGCAAGTTGGATTGCAACAAAACATGGAGCGCTGCAGGTTCCCCACCCCGATTAGCTGAAGGACCTCGTGGGCAGCAGACTTTCCATATTACTGGAAATGTTGCTATGGCAAAAGAGAGAGTTTTTTCTTGGGAAGAAAACATGCATGATGCTACTAAAATGGTTTTACGTTGTGATTGTATATTGATTTTAATCTAGGAACCTATTAACATGATGTGGTCTTTATCCAGGAAATAGATACTGTGAAACTGGCTGCAAACTTCGGAAAACTTTGCACAGTCCCTCTGGACACCATTCTTATTAACAATGTTGCACTACAATTTTTTATGGGTAAGAGAATAGTAGTTGTGTGTTTTTAAAACTATGAAATGTCATCATAGCCTGCAGTAGGCAGAAATGAATTATAAAGAGAGGAGAAATTAATTTTTGGCCACATCCACTTCAGTACCAAACCTTGCTGTCCATACTATCTACCACAAATGAGCAGAACCTTTTTTTTTAAAATGTGAATGGCTCACTTAATTCCAAGGCTAAAGAGCTGCAATGTATTGTCAACTCTGCCATTTTTAAAGTGGCATGATTCCTTCCAGCGCAGCAAGGGAGCAGTAGATAGGACTTAGGGAGCAGCATGTAAACACCAAAATTCAGAGCAATTTGTTAGTAAATGTGCTGAGCATATAATTTTGATTATAATAATTCTGATCCAAAATCAGCATCACTTTGCTAATTTATTTTTTTTATCTACTGTAGTTCTTCAGGGCAAATTATTTGGGTAGGATATTTGTATCCTAATAGATGTGACTGAATTATTATTTGTAGATTACATGCAGCAGATGGGCGGCCAAGCACATCTCTTTTTCTGGATGACCGTAGAAGGATACAGGGTTACAGCACAGCAGCAGCTGGAAGTGCTATTGAGTCTTCAGAAAGATGGAAGGCATCAGACTACAGAAACCAAAGGCCTATTAAAGTCAGCTGCAGTTGGAATTTATGATCAATATTTGTCAGAGAAGGTAAGAATGGGTTTTAAAGGAAAATTAAGCTATATGATAGCTGTATTCTAAAGGTTGCATAGGAACCTTAAGATCAAGCTGCTGAACCTCAGTCCAATATTTGAAGATGCAGAGGCTCTGATGAACTTAATCAAATTGAACTATAGAGGATCCGTCCTTACTTTTTACTCAGAATAATGTCCTTCATGTTTATTCTTTATGTTTGGCTTTGAGCAAGTCAATTTGAATTTGGGGATTCAGACCAAATGTGACAAAGTCCTTAGTTGTTTGGTTCCCTTTTTTATTTCTCTTGAAGAGACAGGGCTAACACACATGCATTTTAGATACATTTTAAGAAATATATTTTCTTCAGATACGAAATGGTAGGTCCTGACTAGCATTTCTAGAATCTACTTATAACTCAACATGTTTCTCCCTTGACTAGTGAGCTTGGTTTGATGAAAATAACTGTTGCAGTCTTTACTTGTTAGGTGTCTATCTCTAGCTTTATTATTTCTCTCTGCAATAATAATTTGAGTTTTATTTTTTTACAAATTAAAATAAGGTCAAGTGGTGCACAAACTTATTGAGTTCTCTATGGCAGGCATCACCAAGAGTCAATATTGATGATACCTTGGTTGCAAAACTGGCAGAGAAACTGAATAATGAGGATCCAACTCCCGAAATATTTGATGAGATTCAGAGAAAGGTATAGTATGCTAATTCTCCTTTTCATATGTATTGGTGGAAGTTGGTTGCTAATAACTGATTTTGTTGGTTTTCAATGAAAATTCAAAGTTATCCCAGAAATATTGCATCATTTCCATTACATGCAACTCATAGCTTGCTTTCTGTGGCTTGTGGCAGATGTAAAAGTACCAAACTTCTAAAAAATGGTGTGCTCCCACATATGAATTCTCCCTCTCTTCCTTTTTTCAGAGTCAACTAGGGTACCATGTTGAGTTTGCTCTGAATTTGATCATAACTGGACTAAGCTTTAATTAGGGTGTGCCCAGCTTCTCAGTTCCAAAATGCACAGCAACAAATTCATTAGCAGCTCAGCAAAATTGTCCTGGGGGCAATTTTGTGTGGATAACGCTGCTTTATTAACAGCATGGCAGAGAAATTGCTAGGTTGGTTGAAATATTGACCCAGTTTTTAGACCAGAGCTTTCCAAACTGTGTTGTGACATGTTAGTGTGTCACTCCCCACGCTCCTCCCGGGGCTGGAAAGGGATTGGTTTAACCTCTGGTTTGCTAGTAAAACTTAATTACTGCTTTGCAAAATGATGCATGTCTAAAAAGTATGTCACCAACATGAAAAGTTTGGAAAGCTCTTCTTTAGACCTTCATTAGTTAATTAACTATGGTTTGGACCAGGGGTAAGCAACCTAAGGCCCATGGGCCACAAGTGGCCCATGGCAGTCGTTAACCAGCCCCCGAGCCACTCCCGAACTGAGCTGCCCACTCGGTGTGTCCCTGCGCACTGCGATAAACCGATGCAGCGCAGCATTGGGACTCGCTTCCGCGGTGCCGGAAATCGTGTCTGCGCATGTGCAGATGCTGGAAATCGCACCTGCACAGACGCCGTGCTGGAAATCACATCTGCACAGATGCTGGAAATCACGGGTGCGTGTGCAATTCGGCCCACAGAGGGATCTCCTGGGTGAACCGGCCCAGGCGAGGTAAACCTTGCCGGCCCCTGGTGGACGAAAGGGGAAATGGATTCACTACAAATTGGAAACAGAAGCTTTACAGTGCTTCTGAAGGAGAAAGGGAAGGGGAGGTGGGAAGTTTGTGAGCCGAAGGCTTGCCATGACTTATGCACCTAAAGACGAGCTGTGTTCTGAATGGAGATACTCAGCTTTATAATTAGGAAAGCAATGTTGTTCAACCTGGTAAGGCCTGCCATTCTTCCTTGGATGCTCTGCCACAATTTAGGAGACCTTTAAAAGTCTAATCTTCTTGATTCCATAATTGCGAGTAATACTGAACTTTCCATTCCATAAGGTATATGATATGATGCTCCGGGACGAACGCTTCTATCCTTCATTCAGACTGCATGTCCTCTACGTCCGAATGCTTGCTGAGCTAGATATGCTAAAGGACCCTAGCTTCAGAGGATCAGATGATGGTGAAGGGGGTAAGTTTATGTTGTGAACCACCCTGTGATCTTTGGATGAAGGGCTATATACAGATTTAATAAATAAAATTAAAATAAAGTTTATTCCAGACTTTAATTGTTACATTTTATGCTTATTTGTGATATCACTGCAGCATCAGATTTACTGTGTGATGTTTTTAAAATCTGTTTAAATGTTTGCCCAGTCTAATCCTGTATGCCCAGTAACAATTTAAGAACCAAGATATATGCAAGTCCAGTAAAATGAGACCAAAGTACATTAAATCCCAACCTGATTACTCAGTTCCAGTTTCCAAAAGGGAGCCCACATTGTGTGCATGTGCGTGTGTTTAAGATGACAGGCACTGATATGTCTTAGCAGAAGGAAGTTTCACTGTTGGGTTAATTGTGCGCCATACCCATAGGACTTTAAAAATGTGCAGTCATTCTGCATTGAGCTTGCATCGTGCATGAATAGAGAACAGTTTCCTGTGGATAAACTATACACTTTATGGCGTGGAAGATAAATATATAAACATCACAAAATATAATTATGATATCTATCCAATCTCTTTATTCTACGTAATTATGACATGTTACATGCAGCCCCTTAGTAAACTGAATATGAAACTTTCTTGCAAACTTTTCAAGTCTATAGCTTGCTCAATAAAAGAGCACTCAAGTGTGATTCTACAATTTCTTCCCCCCATGCTTTGTCATATTAAGTTCTGCTGTACGAACATGTATTGTATTGTTGTGGCCCATCCCAGATAAGGAAGACACACATCTGATAGTTAACTCTATTGGCAAGAGAAGCATTTCCAGCAGGTTCCACAGTGCTCTGATGATCACATGCTTCTAGCCTCTAGGCAGCTGTCTATAGGTCTAGAACCTGCAGAACAGTTGCAGTAGCTGTGGGGCTCCTTCCCTCCTCCAGCTTATACGCCTTCCTCTGATGGGTTGTGTACCTGCAACCTGAGACTTCTCTTGCCTGGAAGTCATTAATTTTTTTACCATAACCACTCCTGATTTTATTAATGTGTCAAATAGGGTAATATTATATGATAGTAGTAGACAAATATCAAGTGTGCTTTGCTGCCACCTAGTGGTATAGATTAGTAATACCTTAAAGTTTTAAAATTAGGGCCACACTTGCATGCCTGCTAATAGTTTACCATGTTTGTTCTAATCTAATTAGGAATATTGTGATGCATGCAACTTTCAGATTAACCTAAAATTCATTGTTAAGTTAAGCTATGTGGATATCAGTAATGTTTTGTAATTAGATCTTAGTTTACACTTTCTACTCGGAAAGAAATCCTGATATGTAACACTTCACATGTTAACTTGCTTAAACATTTATGTTTTGACATACAGTTCTGTCTCTTATTTCGACAGAATCATTCAATGGTTCTCCTACTGGCAGCATTAATTTGGTAAGTGTGTTTTTTCAACTGTAATGTTGGCAGCAGTGGCAGGGTGGGGTAGGGTAGGGGGAACAGGACTCTTTCCTTGTGCTATCTTCCAAATAACTATCACCATCAGCGGCTCTTTATCTGTCAGGGGAAAACATACAGGTGCTTTCAGTCATTCAGTAACAAAAAGTAGTGAGGATATCAATAAGAGAAAGATCATTGCTGTGACAACTGTATCCTATGGCATCTCCTTTTCTTACCCTGCTTCTGACTATTAACAGAAATTAGTTGAAACTTTCCTACAACTTTTATCCTGGCCATGAAAATTTCACCCACCTAAATTTACGTTGGGCTTCTGCCAAAGATAAGGATAGTTGCAGGAAAAACTTTGCAACATTTTTTGGTAGCATTTCCTATTCTCATTTCAAACTACAGACACACTCCCACATCCCACACATACGTGACCGTGTTTATGCAGGCCACTGCAAAATAAATAAGTAAATAAACAGGCCTTCTCTTGCTCAGGACTGTTGCCATTAATCGACCAGAAGCAGAGCAGGAGGCACCTTCTCCCTACCTCTGCTGCCCATCTGTGCCCCCATCCTGGCACCAGTTCTGCTTGGCGCCCTTCTCAGTCCGCAGCCTCCATGGCCGTCCGCTGCTACCACGCATACTGGCTCACCCAGAGGCAGGCAGGCAAGCTTGCAGGCTTGGGACATGCTGGGCAGTGGCCCCGGGTGAATCTGCCTCTCTCCCCCTGCCTCTTCCCCATCCTCTCGCTCTCATCCCCATTCACCCTCCCTATTAAAGTGGGGTGCTCCCCACTTTATGTGATTTCACCTATGCCCACAGGGACCTGGAATGTAATCCCCATGTAAGTGGGGGACACCTGTAATTGTTTAATTGGGAGATTATGTAACTAAAGCTTATTTAATTAATGAGAAGCAAATTTAATTGATGCTGGTGGGACTTAATTGGTGGGGTTTTTAAATTTTTATTTCTAGTGATCTATTTTGAAGCTAGTTTATTAACATATCAAGGAGAGGGATATGGTAACCTTTCTTTCAGGCAAGCTAGTTTACTGTCTGGAGGACATTCTGTTTTTACTTAGAAAGCATCCAGAAATATGGTTTTCCCTCTACAATCTCAAGTGATAGCATTCCAAATGAAGACCTCATTCTCAGTATTGTGTAGATCTGCTATAAGATACAATTTAGATACCAACCTTAAGAAGGAATTGTTCAAGGATAGGTCTATTGGCTACCTGTAGCTGTGATACCTAAGTGGAACTTCCATATCCAGGGAAAATATACATCTGAATACTGGATGCCTAGGATAATCATGGAGTTTGACTTCCGTTTTTTATCTTTGCTTGCAAAGTTGTAGAGGCATCCACTGTAGGCTTTCAGAAATAAAATGCTGCACAATATTGGCTTCTGGTCTGTCAAAGCAGTTTTTCATTCTTGCTAAAATTGTGACTCTGGCTATTCTTCTTCAGTCATTGGATGATCTTTCAAATGTGCCTGTCGATGAGTCAATACAATTACATGCATATATTTCAGATACCGGTGAGTTCAGTAGTGATGCTTTCTCTTTCAATATTTGGTCATACTATCATGGCTGTTGTGTTCCTTTTCTTCATAAACCTTGATTAAGTCTGCCATCATGTACCTCTTTTAAACCTAACTACTTTCCGTCATAACATTTTTGTCCTCATGATCTCTGCTTGCTTGGTGTGGTTATTGGTATTCACAAACCCCAGGAACAAGGAACTGCTTAAGGCTCATGAAGGGGCTTGATGGAGCCCCGTAGATTTTTAAAGCGTATTTTTTCTTGAGCAGCTGTCACACCACTCATTCAAACCTTTTGAAACTTTCCTTAGTTTCAAAGAAGTTTTCCAGGCAAGCCTATAGGCTTCTTGGGGGTTATGGAATTATTTGGAGTTCCTTGGCTCCTAAGCCATTCTGATTTTGGATTTTCCCCCTGTATTATTAAAATGTCATTTAGTTGTGTTGAAATTCCATGAATGCCTTAGACTATTCAATATAAGACTGAGTTTGTTTCATTTTCATTTAATGTACAATAATGTCATCATTAAATTGTATGTATTGCACCATAATTTTATTTGCTCACATCTAACATTCACCTTCTATTTACATTAAGCAAACATTTGTATTATTATAGCATACTCAGATATTTTTCTTCAACAATAAAGAGTTCTTCAGATCTATCTGATGGGGGAAAAGCTTTTTTCATTCCAGGCATGAATACTAGCAGCCAATTTTTCAGTTGTTATTTGAAACTCTTTTTAAAGTGTTGAATCTATGGGTGGTATTCCAGTAACAAGGATGTCCACTTACACAGTAGGACTCCTGCCCCCCATCCCCAGATCTGCTCCAGAAGTTTGGAGGAATCTCTCAAACAGATTTAGGGGTGCATGGAAGGACAAATTTCACAAGCAGAAATTATTGATGGAACGATTTCCTTAGCAATCCAATTCCAATATAAAAAGAGCTGGAAATGAAAATATGCCTAAAATTGAAACTGAAACATGCCTGTAAGTTAAATGGCCTGATATTACAGGGGAATCACCACTTACGTGGGAATTCCCTTCCTGGCTGCTGAGAGTGGGGATTCTCTTGTTCTGCCCCCCCTTTTGGCACTGAAAACAGTGGGCGTGTCAGCAGGGGTACTCGTGCTGGTAGTACACAAGTGGGAAAATGCCTATAGTTGCTAAATAAGCATCTATCACTACACTTCACATTCTGTTATTGGTAATAATCACTGAATATGGCAGCTTTACAGAGACAACCAACTTCTGTGATCCTGGGAGTCAGGAATTATTCATTTGGTGTGTGTTCCCCCCCTCATATATTTTCTATATATGACAGTTGTTGCTCCCTAGCTTTCAAATATCATATATTTACCACATACAGCTTCAGTTAGTTTGACATATCCAGTTCCTAAGTAGCTACTGATACAACTTAAACCAACAATGGAATAGTGGGATCAACCACTGTTGTTGGTACCCCTTTTCAAGTACCTGCCCAGGTACATCATATGAATCAGAAGACACAAGTGACCTGAGACTAGTATGCCTGCATCCATTCAGTAAATTTTATGTGACTTCACTGCCAGAAATGAATGAAATAACTTGTATGCAGCTGCATAATATACTTTCAGTCTGGTATACAGCATTTGGTTGTACAAATAGAGCCACCACACCTCCTTCCCATAGCTCAGCACCTAGCTCACCCAGCTCTAGGAAGGCAGCACAAGGGTTGGAAGGGGTGTCAAATGTTGTCAAGGGCCACACCAAAAGGCCTTGAAGGCTGCATGCAGTCCTCAGGTTTCCGGTTGGACTGCCCTGATCTAGGCAAGAACATTTTGCTGAAGTATCGCTTGATTATAGGATGCTATGATTTCATACACAGAGCAAGGCAGTTTGTTTTCTTCCTCAGTTTGCATGCCCGTTTTGTCTCCACTTCCTTGTCATTTCCAACATCTCTTCATTTCATGTCTCTTCTGCCCTTTCGCCTTCCTCTTTTGTGTTTCTTTCTTCTTCCTTCGTTTTTTGTTTTAAATTGCTAGTTTATGCTGATTATGACCCATATACTGTGGCAGGAGTTTGCAATGACCACGGCAAGACATACGCGCTATATGCTATCAGTGTTCGTCGTCGAACCCCAAATGGTGACGAAGTATGGAAAACATATCGTCGCTACAGTGACTTCCACGACTTCCACATGAGGATTACTGAGCAGGTAATATTTGCAGTTAAAATGAGTTTGTGGAAAGAGCAGGTGGCTTCCTCGATTAATTTAAATTAGTGATGAAAGAGGTTCAGTGAGCTTAGCTGGCCTGTGCTCCTGATAATCTACTGGAGCTGGGATAAACTAACTATAAGCTAAGTTCAAACTTAGGAGAAGTTATGGTTTGGCTTGTAGTGACCTCAGAAAAAAGTAAGTTAATATCCCAAACAATCCTGTTCCAAACTTCAGCTGCATTGCTAATTTAAATGAGCTTTTAGTTCAATGGTAATTTATGTTTTGGTCTCAGATTCTGTCCCTAGTAATTCCAGGTGTGGGTGGGAAAGACCCCCATCCGAAATCCTTTAGAGCAGGCATGGCCAAACTTGGCCCTCCAGCTGTTTTGGGACTACAATTCCCATCATCCCTGACCAGTGGTCCTGTTAGCTAGGGATTATGGGAGTTGTAGTCCCAAAACAGCTGGAGGGCCAAGTTTGGCCATGCCTGCTTTAGAGCTGTTGCCAGTTAAGAGTCATGCTGCCCTCCAAAGGTTTTGAACTACAGCTCCTATCAGCCTCAGTCAGCATGGCCAGTAGTCAAAGATGATGTAGTACAAACATTTGGAGGGCATCACATTGACTACCCTTGATCCAAATGGACCAATGGTTTGACTTGGTATCAGGCAGCTTCCTAGGTTCTCATACTACTACAGAATTGATATTTAGGATCACATTACTGTGCAGAGAAGTATCTTGTATGCTCACACACATATGGAAAAAGAATGTGTCAGGGAGAAACCTAAGCTAAATCTATCCTTGACATTTTCATTTCCTGTATGTAAAGGGTATCTTGTGTACACAGATAAATGGATAAGACTAATGGTCCTTTATTCTGCATGGTTGAGCATTCACTTGCATGAACCTACATTGTTAGCCCGAAGTGGTACAGTCTAAAACAAGTTGTTCACTTGTCCAGTTGACGCTAAACATTCTTAGCATTGGTGCAGATGTAACATTCCAGATGTTTCCCATCACAGTTAGTTCTGGGGGTGAGTGAGGGAGCTTCTTCCTGATTTCTTAAACAAAGTAAATAGATTGGAAGTGTATTTATGAAATGAATGCATAGTAATTCAGTTTGGATGTAGATGTTAGATATATATTTAAAATAAAAAATTATGGGTTCTTTTCTAGTTTGAAAATCTAGGAAGTATGTTAAAGCTTCCTGGTAAAAAAACATTCAACAACATGGACAGAGACTTCTTAGAAAAAAGGAAGAATGATTTAAATGCATATTTGCAGGTATGTTGTTATATTCGAGTTTTTCATTATGTGTGCATTAATAATTTTTTTCCTAATTTGATCTCTTGAAAATTTGCAGCAAAGTTCAGGGCTGCCTTTAGATATTTTCTAAAAGTCAGGTAGTTGTTTATTTCCTTGACATCTGACAGGAGGGCATTCCACAGGGTGGGCGCCACTACCAAGAAGGCCCCCTGCCTGGTTCCCTGTAACTTCATTTCTCACAGTGAAGGAACCGCTAGAAGGCCCTCGGAGCTGGACCTCAGTGTCCGGGCTGAACGATAACTTGATATGTTACAGTTGAAAGTGTTTTCAGGCATAGTAGTTCTTTTTGATGGTATGAAACATGTCATAATCTTCTACTGGCGTCATGGTGTCACTGGATTGGGCTCTGACTCCATCGTGATCATGAGGCAAGAGCAAAGATTCTGGGAAAGTGAGCGGCTCCCATTCAGTTTTTTTGCTGCTGCTTGATCAAAGCCATCACATCGCCTTAAGCTCCTGTTTTTCTTACGCTTCCTCAAGCTATTTTTTCCTCTTTCTACAATTCCTTCATAACTTTGTGAGACCTTTTATCTTATTTCCTTTCCATTCACTATCCTTCAAAGAAAGATTTTTTTAAAAGACAAAAAGATACTAGTAGAAGATAGTACAATTGGTACTGACCTGAAGTGTAGGTCTCTGTGACATCATGGGGTCAGTGGGGCCACTCCCTAATATGGACTGCAATGTGCCTCTTCCTTTTCTTACATGTTCTATGCACTGTTGTTTAAGGGGAAAGCAGGCATCTTTTATTTCCTTACTACCTGAAACTCCGATAAATATTTGAGCTTGGCGAGTCCATAAAACTGTTTGGGAGCCCATAAAACTGATTGGGAGCCACCCACTTCCCCAAAGAGTCTTTGGTCCTGCCTGGTGATCAAAGTGGAGTTGCAGCCCAATCCAGTGACCCCATGACACCATAGAGGTCAGGGCCAATTCTACTTTTAGGCACAGTTTCAGTTGCTTTTATGCAGGATGCCTTTAAAATGTGAGAGTAATGGTACGCCTGTAACCTTTATATTTTTAGACGGAATTGGATTAAATGTACAGACATGCTAGCTTATTCTGAGGGCACAAAGCCCACAATATGTCAGACAAAACTGATAAAATTTGACAGGTACTTTCTATCGTGAGAGGGTTTGGGGTTTTTTGAATGGGGGAGGGACTGAACTGGCCAATTCTGCTTAGGAGAAGGACTACTAGTTCTTTTAGGAAGCAGGAGCTATGCAAAAGCATTTAAAACATCTTATTTCTGCTGTGCTGTAACGTGTTTTATCATTCAGAACCAAAATGCTCACCTTCCAAAATTACCTGCCTCCTTTACTTCTTAGCTTTTGTTAACTCCTGAAGTGATGAAATGTTATCCAGCTTTAATACACTGTGTGTATGACTTCTTGGAAAACAAGGCATACAGTAAAGGAAAGGGAGAGATTGCTCGGAAGGTAAGAATATTATCTGTTGTCTAGCAGGGCTCAGTGATGGCTGTCGTCCTACAACCTTGTGCACATCAGTCAACATAATCTGTTGTTCATATTGTATGCCCTTTGTTGTTTAGCTTGTATTACATGATTTATAAATGAATGGACACGTGGCATAAATGCAGTATGCAAATAAGGAGTTGTTTTTTTTTGAAACAGAAGCATTTATTTATCGGCAAAGAAGCCAAACTTGCATAAGAGAATTGTTGTAATACAAAAAGTTTCTGTATTGTTTATAAGTTTGCTATCAAGCCTGAGATGCACCTAGTGTTGAAAGATGTAAATATCCCTTCCCTTTTATTTACCCTAAAATCCTCTGCCCATTCCAGGCACCACATGCTTCATGACTCCAACCACCTGCTCAAAAGAGAGAATGCATGTCTCCCTCTAAAACTGGTTTTTGAGGCTGTTTCACATCAAAGAGCAAAAGGAGCTAAGCACCAAATTTTAAAATGCAGCACTTTGTCAAAGTTGATCATTTAGTAATTGTGCTTGAAGTAGATCAACTTGCAGATTTTACATGCTTACTTAGCCCTTTTGCCCTCACAATTCCTTTCTATAAATTAGGTACAGCTTTCTGTGGTGTTCTAAAAAAATAAATTTAAGTAGAGGTTGAACTAAAATACATGTGTCTAAAATGATTCAAGCTTCTGTAACTTCCTGGAGACTGAATCCCTGTTGTTCTTAAACTTTTTCATTTGAACAGAACAGTTCAATTAGTGCATATTCATATTGTGCCATGGTTTGTACAGTTCCTATCAGCTCATTTGCATGCCACTTAAAAATATGTGGTTTTCTTGTTTGGCCAAAAAGAGAGAGCCTTTGCCCAGAAACCCTTGAGGGCTATACTGAGGACCATGTTGTCTCTTCAGGAATCGCTGTGCGTCTGCCTTAAAAAGATGGTGGGCTTTAAATCCAAATGCATAATTATATCTGAAAGAAGTTTCTGTATTTTGCATGATCCTGCATTGCAATTCCATTATAGATATCACACAAGGGCCATATGGACATGGTAAGGGAGTGAAAGTAATGTATTTTATACATTTATCCCACAAGGATTCTTAAGATAGCTAACATACAACAGGGACACAACAACATATTGACAAAACCACAACAAAATGTTAATGGATTAAAAAAAACACCTGGCAAATTTTGTTGGGTAGCAACAGCAAGCATCAAACTCTAATAAAAACTAAGTGGAAAAAACATTCCTACCCATTTTCTGGCAGGCAAGCAAACGTAGGACATTCCACAGATTAGGGGTAATAAAAAGCCCCGCTCTCTAGCCACTGTCAACACCTCAAGAAGCAGAAACACTCAGACCAAGTCCTCAAAAAAAGGTGTTGGGGTAGATGTCATGCTTTTCAGTCCCAGACTACTTAGGGCTTTGACGGTCAGAAACAGCACTTAAAATTGTGCCTAGAAACAAATAAGTAGCCAATATAGATAGATTGGTTATTTAATTTCTATACAGCTTAATATATAAAAATATCTCTAAGTGGTGTGCAAAAAATGAAGCAACATCAAACAACTTAAAGAAAAACACACTGTTACATATAAATATGTTAGATAAAGACAAAATTATATATAAATCAATATCAATTCATTTGCCTTTTGACACTGTTCTTTAACTGTTCTCTGTTCTCTCATGTTAGAACCAATTGACCATCTAGCAGCTATATTTTTCCCCAGTTGTAGTTTCCAAGCAGTCTTTAGAGGCAGCCGCAACAATTGAGGCTGTCAGTGGAGTTTCGTTGCAAGAAAAGCCATACCTGGCCAATCAGCCAAACGCTCCAGAGAAATACTTGAGCATCCATCTGGAAAGGGAGGTCTAATTTCAAGCCAGGCTGTAATTGGCTGGCTTTAGAGGTGTGAATAGGCTTGATGCTACATTTTTCTAGGTTCTTAGGTGTCCCATCAATTATATTTGCTCACTTGGAAAAACTCTTGGGCACAGGCATTTGTCCTTACAAACAACTCATGACCACTTTGGAAACATGCCCACTGCATTACAGGTCTTGGGTGAGGCACATTACCATATATATTTTGAGTTGTAATGGATTTTAGATATATGCAAGCAACAGAAATCAGAAAATAACATAGTTCTCATTTTTTAAAAAAATTATTGGATTATTATTATTTTTTAGATTATTGGACCAAAACAGGGACTCTAGCTTGGCAGGGAACCTACTCTAGGAGTGTGGATAATAATGCTTAGAACAACTGTATAGATTACATTATAGAAGTAAACTAGTAATATAGAATCACACATTATGATCTATCAGAAACAATGTGCCCATTTCAAATTATTTCCCTATATAATGTATACTAGAAAATAATCTATGTTTTGATGTCACAGAATTATTGCTCCCCTGCCCCTCCATATTATAGGCTGATGGGGCTGGCTGATATGTAGTATTAAAACTACATTAGATTAGTTCTTTGATGCATCACAGAGGTGGAGGAAGACCACATACGGCTGCCATCTTCAGCAGCAGTGCTTTGTTAATTGGAATGTGTAGCCGTCATTTAAATTCTTAATAGATTTTTACTAACTCCACACAAATTTACTCTTTCAAAATAACAAATAAATGCACACAGGATAACATTTTTCTGCTTCAAGGGCAAGAGTCTATTATCCCCAGTAGCTGGTGTGTACACTTCAATGGATGAACACTTTAATTGTGTGCGCTCTCTCGCTCTTTCTCTCTCTCCTCTCCCTTTTATTTTCTCATTTTCTTTTTGTTGCAGCTTCCCAAAAAGCTGCTCTTGAGGGTGTTTGGACTTAAGGGTGTTTGGAACAGTATGAGCTTTGGGTTGGGGGGGTACAAGTGGAGGGGAAAATCTGAGACCTCCCCCTGTGTGGGTGGAGATGTCTTCTGTTTGAGCAGGGGCTCTCTAGCTTCCATTCCATTAATATTATTCAGCACCAGTAAACATGGTACTTTGCATAGTAATGCTACAAAAGTAAATCCCTTGCCCAAGAAACTTGCTGTCTGTGGATGACATTTCTCTCAGTTTTGATTGTTTTCAAAGTCAGGGCATGTATTTTACAAAATTAGCCTTACTGATGCCTGAAATTAACACAGTAATATTTTTTTCATAGTAATGACTTTGTATTACTGCTCTCCAAAACAGTGTGATGTTTTCAACACACATTATTGGATGACTGGACTCATATCCTCATAGATTTATGCAATCGTGGTAAATGTTTTCCTCTTTAGATGGACACATTTGTAAACCCACTGCGTAACTCTATGAGAAATGTTTCAAATGCTGTCAAGTCCTTCCCTGACAGCTTCGCAGAGGGGATGACTAAAATGTCAGACAACATGGGCAAAATGTCAGAAAGATTGGGACAAGACATAAAGCAATCATTTTTCAAGGTAAGAATGCATTGAAGTAACGCACATTAGACTTGGTTCCATTATGAGCCGCCTCAGTTAAACATGATCAGACTAGGCAAAGTGTGAGGTAACAGTTATGTTTAATATGTTGCCTTTCTTTTTATTTGGAAGAATGAAAAAAATAACTAGGAAGGAGTGCATAAGAACATAATCCTGCCAAAGTCCTTCTAGACACATGGGCCCTATTGCAAGCCCAAATCTTGCTTGGGGTCATTTCACCTTATACACATAATGCTAAACCATGGCTTAGTGATACTTGCAAGCCAGCACTGTAAAATGTAGAAGAGTGAATGAAACGTATGTGGGTTCAGATACGTAGATTAATACAGGTGCTACCATCAGTTGAGAAGCTTGATTGTTAAGTTACCAAACATTCTCTTAAACAGAGTGTTTGGCAACCGTGAGCCATCTTCTTCACGAATGGTGCAGCCTGTCATTTCTTTTAATCATTTTTGCCTTACCAACACACTGCTGAATATTCAGTTACTTCACTGTATAGGGTAGTTTTGTTTCAAAGACATGTAAAGCTCCCTGATGTTGATGTTAGTTAATTTAGGGTGAGCCACTACTGAAAATGCACACTCTCGTTCTTAATTTCAGAACACTGTCTGTGTTCCAGCACTTTCCTCAAATACTGCCAACTTTGCAACCCTTACTAAGTTACCAGAACACCTAGGCTTATTTTAACATAGTTTTCCTCCCCATATTCCCACATTGGCTGCAGCCCAGAGCTTTTCAGTGCTTCAGTGCTCACACGATGCTCTGCCTAAGCAGAGGCTGTCCTCTGTTTCCATGCTAGGGAATGTTCTGGCTTGCATCAAGCATCATGTGTGCATCAAGAGCTCCGTGCATACACCAGAGATGCTGGAGAGGGGAGACAAATGTCTGAAGCAATTTTTCCTCCCATTTCCCCCCCACAGACCTTGCTTTCCATCAGTCCCCTTCCCCACCCTTGAATAAAATATATTTATTCCATTTAGCCTTGTCATTGCTAACCCAACACTTCTGCTGTGTCACACATTAATGCATCTTTCCCAAAACGGAATATTTCAAGTGTGTAAAGTTAAAATAAAACCATGCAAGATGAGTATTTTATCTCCCTTTCCCCCTTTCTCCTTTTTGTTGTATTGCATAAATATTGCTGTAGAGCTGGGGCAGGGAAGCCTGTGGCATTCCAGAAGCTGCTGGGTTCAAATTCCCATCAGTTTCAGGTAGCTTGGCCAATTTCCAACAGGCCACAGGTTTCCCCACCCCTGTTTTAAGGTCAGCAATGTAGGGCCTTACTAACCTTTAACAAAATGCACCTGCATAGTAATAAACAATATTGGAACCTTTTCTTTAAAAATGGACTAAAGTAAAATTTGAAAATGCAGATTAAGCAGTAGTTTATGCCTTTCGAATAAGGCATTTTAGAAGCATAAACTATTTATGTTATATGAGATTTAAGCAAAAGCAAGTCTTATTTTTCCATTATTTTTTATAATGGGATTATATTTTATAATCCCAAAGAAAAAGTTATTTATAAAATGATAAGTGTGGGAATGCAGGCTAGTTAGGCTTTTTGTCATGTTACTGTTAGGTACAGTGGTACCTCGCAAGACGAATGCCTCGCAAGACAAAAAAACTTGCTAGACGAAAGGGTTTTTTGTTTTTTGAGCTGCTTCGCAAGACGATTTTCCCTATGGGCTTGCTTCGCAAGACGGAAACGTCTTGCAAGTTTGTTTCCTTTTTCTTAACACCGTTAATACAGTTGCGACTTGACTTCGAGGAGCAACTCATAGCACGCAGTGTGGTAGCCTTTTTTGAGGTTTTTAAAGACTTTGGTGATTTTTGAAGCTTTTCCAAAACTTTCCCGACACCGTGCTTCGCAAGACGAAAAAAATCGCAAGACGACAAAACTCGCGGAACGAATTAATTTCATCTTGCGAGGCACCACTGTACTCATAAGGCTGCTTAATTTGTTCCAATACTTGTTTTGGATTTTTATTAAAGCACTTCCACAGTGCTGTGCCTTATATCAAGCAGTTAAAAGTATTTTATGAACTAAAGTTCATAAACGTATTGGTTTTGAAATTGAGTTTCAGAATTCTATGGCTTTATAAAGGATATTTTTTTCATCACTATTTCTTGCTTTCAATAATTTCTCTTTGGGATTTAGGATCCTCCTTTAATGCAGAAGACATATGTTGATCCTAAGCACTGCCGTGTTGCAGCACAAGTTGAAGACAATGTGAGTTTGATAGTTGCTTTTAAACTAACCTCACTTTTGCTTATAAATGAAATGTATACACGTGTGTCTATATGTGCATGATTGATACACACACACACACACACACACACACACACGTGCATGTGTGACACTAGAGTTTACCCATGGTATTACTGTGAATCAGTGGTGCCTAAATATGTAAAGTCCTCTAGTTGAGGTCCGAAGAACAGCTATAGGCAAGTTGAAAGGCAGCATGCTTCATGGGATTCCCACCACACTTTGACAGCAACCTTCATGCCTTATTTAAAATGTATAGGGAATCTCAGTTTTGAAGCCTGATTGCCATGTCACGTGGGGGATTCCTGTTAAAGGAACGTGACCCTGAATCCCATCAGGCATGCAAAGCTACTTGAATAGTTCTTTGGATCCCGATAAAACTTCATTATAAAATGTGTTACGTATGTATGTATGTATGTATGTATGTATGTTTCCCCCCTACTCCTACAATATTCAAATGATCAACAAATTCTGTGTCAGTTCTATAAAAAAATGGATAGCTTCCTTTACTACATTTTCATAAGAGTTTGTTATAGTTCCATGACCTCAAAACATTAAACAACTTCTTTGGTCATAGATGTAGTTGACTTTCTTATTAAGTGCTCCAAAGTGAGTGTATGTAAGAATATGAAGGTGAAGATTAAAAGGTTAGGTTCCTGATGTTCTCATAAACTAGGGAATTTCTGATTTGGTTGAAACACTGATTAAATATGTGAAGATCAGTTCAAAAAAATCTTTTATCTTTAATGAGGACAGAAGGACCATAAGATTACCACTGATTATATGCAGATTTGTCATGGTCATAAATCTGCACCTGTTCTACACTTCACATCTTTTTCTTGCCACATCAAAGCATTCCACTCTATATATCTGAATAGTGTCTGCTGCTATGATTTTAGCAAATCCCCCCTTCTTTAGGAGCATTACATGTTTTATGTTTTCATTGTTTTGATCATCACAGAAAGAGCTTATATCCAGTTCTCTTTCATTGCTTTTACTGATTTCGATTTATGGTGCATCATGCTAGTAATGGAGTGTGAAGATTCTACATATGCTTGTACAAGCAAAATATTTTTTCCCAAAATGCTAAATATGGTTGGGTTTGCATCTTTCAGTGTTTTCATGTCACAGAAGAATGTGTTAGTCAGCTTGTAATATTCAGATACACAGTGGGTGTATCAGTGATCCACAAAGTTTTGTTTGAAATTAAGAGCTACCAAGACACTGTGCAGCATCCCAAGGGCCACTCAGCTGATTCCACACACTCGGGAGTGCTTCTGACTTGTTTCTCTTCAAACAACAAGTCCCATGCTGAGCGGCAAAAGATTTCTGAAACTGATAATGCAAATTCAGTTTGTAACATGCTGTTCATTGAAAAAAAGTCAAAAATTCCAAGGGGCCAGTAGTTCATAGAGCATCTTTTTTCTTTTGATTTTGATCTCTTCTGTTTGTCCTTCATAGAAAAAAGTGTTGCTAAATATGATTTAATGTTCCTAGGCTATAACTTTCAAAAACAGGAATCTAAAATGAAGCCCTTTGAGCTAAATTTGCATACTTTGTTGACAAATTATTGATGAGGACTGACAGATATAAACACATTATTTTATTACTTTGTCTTCTGTGATGGCTTCCAGTCTCTATCTGGGTCCTATTCCAAGTATTGATATTAACCTTGAAAAATGTGTCACAAAAAGTTCAGTGCTAGGGTATCTATGGGGGTAGAACCTGTAGTATGTAAATACCAGATTGCTTTCGTGTTTAATGTAATTATAACATGAATTGGTTACAATGGGATCCTGAGAGCTCTTGTTCTCCCAAAATCTGCTGCATTGAATTTGAGAACCCTCAAGAACAGTGCAGGAGATGGTGCAGGGAGACTCCATGAAAATTGTCCCTTTGTGTTTGTGGAAGCATCTGCTGGATCAAACCAATTTCGTGAGCAGGACTCCTTTCATTTGAAGAAGGACTGTGTTAGATCCAGCCTTGTGTATTTGCTTGAGCTGAAGTGTTCCAATAGTTTCATACTTTTGAACAAAGCAAGCTCTTCAGAGTTCTGATATGCATTACTGAAATGAGGAAGATTCATTCACTTGCCAAAAAGTAATAACCTTTTCACCCCATTTTATAGGTGGAGGACAATGTTCCTCTTAAAATAATGCTGCTACTCATGGATGAAATCTTTGATCTAAAGGAGAGAAATCAATGGCTACGACGAAATATCAAAAACTTGCTTCAGCAGCTTATTAGAGCAATGCATGGATATACAATAAATAAGTACTGCCTTCCTTCTTTATAATTATAAAAACCTGTTTATTCTGTAAAGTACATGTGAAAAACTTTTGTCTTTTAAGCACTCATTTTGGAGGCAAAACGTGATGTGATTTAATTTTTGTTGGGGCGCAATAAATGGTTCCCTCACTCCTCCTCCTTCAGACAAATTTTGCTGTCTGTCTTGTTTCCTTACCTAGCTAGCTTATAAAACAGATCCATTAGACTCATCTGAAGGGTGCTTCTGCATGATGGCGTACTGGACCCAGGTAGTCATGGCCAGCTTTTGAGCATATCACCTGGGTCCAGTGTCCCTTTGTGGGAGATTACCAATATTTACTTAGTAAAATTACAATTCCTTTCCCACCCTACCCTCATATATCTTAGATAGGGTAGGGTAATGGATTGAATGCTGCATTTATGTGGTGAACACCTTGGATCAATTTCCTGCTCAGCTGTGAAGCTTAATATTTGGCATTGAGTTAGTCGCCGCCCTGGTTTCATGACACTGTAAGTGAAACTATGTCTTAGTGCAGGCTATCTGTCAGAGAGGAACTTGCAGTCATTGTGCTTCTGAATTGACCTTTTTATTGCTGTCCTGTGGTAGATTAAGCCATAGATTGGCTTAGCGTGTCATCCAGAACAGAAGTAATGGCTAAGCTCTCTTCTCACCAACCATGAGCTGTAGCCAAAAACAAATCTTACTAAGTTTGGCTTACCGTGTCATGCAAAACAGCCTTAGCAGTCTCTTAGGACTATTCCTGTGAGGTTGCAATTGGTACTGTATTCTTCGCAACTATCCAGCTTTTCTTTGGATAAGTAATATGTTAAATATAATTACTTTTCTGAAATACGTAGGGGGGAAATGAAGGTTCTGGAGTCTGCCCCTTAAAGCTCAGCTTGCTGTAGGCACCTATGAAGGTATAGAAACATTTTAAACAGCAGCATATTTGTTTAGAGAAATTGTGTGCTCTCCTTTCCTTACAGCCCCACAAATGTATTTGGCAGATGTAAGTGTTGCAGAGATACAGGTCTTACCAACCCTTTCAGGTGCTGCTGTATCAATGAATGTTGGACATGAGATTTGTCCCTTTTATTTCTTGCATTCAGTTTTAAAGAATAAAATATATTAAAGCAATATGCCAATCTTAATTTCAGAAAAATAGTAGATCATGTTGATTGGATGACATCTCCTGAACAAGTAGCAGATGCAGTTAAACGTTTCAGGTATGTCCTTTTAACACATGGTGTACCCAAAGCAATTTATGTTTCCTGCCTGTATTTCCTGTTGTTCACATCTATACAATGTTGGCTGACAACTATTCTTACTTTTCACGAGAACCACTTTCTCTGCTAGGTTTACAGAGATGATTAACCTTTTCTAGATAGTCGGTCTCTCCTTTGCAAATATGTAAAGTTACTTGAAAAATAGATGTCCATTCTTTGACCCAACCAAAAAAATAATAATAATCTGCCTAATTAATGTGCAATCTTACTATCAGCCTTCCTGTTTACAGGGGGAATCAAGGCAACATCATACAGTGAATAATACCTATATCCTGTATGTTTTCCAGCTTTGTTTTGTAGCAGTTAGTTTAACTTCTCTTTCCCATAGAAAGTTTAAACTGACATCATTAGGAGTTTTCTACATTCCTCTCCTTTGCACTAGTGGCTTTTAATATCTTGATTTGTTGAGATAGCTATAGCTGTCTTGCATGTCACATCCAGCCTAGTTGGTACTGGGCCTCCAGCATAGTGCTATTCCTCCTAATGAATTCTGCTCTGGTCAGGCTAGTAAGCACCTGAAAAGTGGCTAAGCTGTTGCCTTCCAGATGTTGTTGGACCATAGTTCCTTTCATCCCTGCGGATTGGATTTGCTGGCTGGGGCTGGTGAGTATTGGCAGGCTTCAGTCATTTGTCTAGGCTAACTATCACTGGCTGTGATCAATCGTGCACAGCCAGGGTAGTGTGGCTCTTTAAATGTTGTTGGACTCCAGTTCTCATTAGCCACAGCCAGTGTGGTCAATGATCCAGGTTTATCATCCCTGTTGTGTAACCAGGATCTGAAGAAACACACCAGCTAATCTAGAGAAGCCACTTTAATATTGAGGTCTTAATATAGTACCTAAGCTTTTCATGTGCAAGATGTGTTTTGAGTTTTCAGAGGAGAACTATAACCTGGTTTTTATTTTAACCTGTAAACTTGTCTGCTTACAGAGATGCCTTTTGGCCCAATGGCATTTTAGCTGAGACTGTTCCCCGCAGAGACAATGCCATTAGAATGCGAACGAGAATTGCTGGAAAAACAAAATTACTGGGGATGATGCCAGGTGTGTGAAATTATTTCTCCTTGAGCCGAAGTGGAAAATGTCCTTAGATGTGTCACATAGGTTTTAAAAAAGCAGAGTCTTGTTTGCCTGCATGTGAACAGTGTTGAGAAACTATTTCTCTAAGGAAGTTTGCAACCTTGTATTAAGTGCGAGGGCTATTTAGGGAATGATAGTTATTTTCTTGAACATTTTAAGAATTTGTACTTTTACAGCAAATACACATGAAGATTGAATTGTTACTGAACTGTCACATCATTTTGTGATTTGTCTAGATGAATTGAAGCATATCCTAGGTGCTGAGACAACAAGGAAAGGCATTCTCAGAGTCTTTGAAATGTTTCAGCATACTCAGCTGAATAAGAGGATGGTATACGTCTTTCTGGAGGGCTTCTTGGAAACTTTATTTCCAGCAAATGAATTCCCTGAACTCTTCAAAAAACTGCATTCACCCTCAACGCAGATGCAGCGATATAAGCAGAGACTGCAATCTACACAAGCGCCTTCTTTACAGAAAAGGTGACACTCCAGATTTTTATGTTGGTGTCCATTTGCCCAGGACTTGGGCAGGTTCTCTGGGGCTTAAAACTCTCATGCTGTTATTTCTGCACCGGTCTTTTAGTGTCACATATTAGATTATTAATGCATCCATAAGAGATAATCGTTCCTCTCATCCTCCTTCTCTTATGCAACCACTACCATGAACTGGGTTCATGTGTCTAAATGATTTGGTGCATCTTCATGCAACATTGAGAAGAATATTAGCCCGCTCTGTAAGAATGTCTGTTCCTTCCACTCTTGACGGAATCTATGATTGCCAGCAATGAAAAGTGCTAGACTGTGTCAGTTGAGTGATAAGTAAAGCACAACTGTGGTGATAGCAATGGAGGACTTGGCTGCTTTGCTCGGAACTGGGAGATTGTGCAATGTGAAAATCAGGTGCAATTTGATTTGCATTATGACTGTTGAGGCCTTGTGGGTCTCGCTGAGCGGCTCTGAAGTGGTTGAGCTAGCATGAAAGAAGTCTTTTGAACAGATGGTTCTGAGAAATTTTATGATTTTCCCAAACTACATTTGCTAACTAAAGGTTGAAGTAATATGTGCGAAAGCCGTGTTAGCTTCACTTTCCAGAATGATAATAATAAATAACTAAGTAAATTATATTCGTTGGTTTTATTACTTAGTCAGGATGGGTACACATAAAGAAAAACATCTTGGTTTGAATTAGCCTGCTTAGTGGTCTTGTTTTGCTCTTCAATAACAGTTCTTGTATTCTGCATATAATTTTTAAAGAAGAAAGGCTCATAATAGCACTTAGTGAAGGGAAGGACAGATGTTTAAAAAAGGGGATTATCACATTTATTTATTTATTAGGAGTTTTTGGGGCTAGGAAACAGAAGCAAATTAAAATACAACGTTCTCAACATTAAGAAATTATCAGAATGGTTTTACTTTTTGCCATTAATTGTCACCCTTAGCTTTATTTAAGTGTGTTCACCTTAAGAGGAAAATTGCTGAAATGACTTGGTTTCTTACTGACATAAGTCTTCTGGACTTCATTGAACAGTCATATGCAAACAATTGCAAATTCCTGAATGCACCACAGTGTATATATGAAAATAAGAGACACAACAACAATATTTTTTTAAATAACAATCTTTTTTATTTTTTGCATAATGTAAAATTTTAATAAATAAACTTCTTCTACACAAAAAGCCCCCTGTCTATCCTCTTTACTTCCAGACATAATGTCTAATTGAGAATGAAGTAATAATTTACTACTTTTGCTGAGCCTTAATTTATCTTGGAATCTCCTTTTCTCGAATCTCCTTGATGAGCACCTCCCATGATCAAGGAATTTCAAAGCATTAGGTATAATCCCCTTAATATTTTACTATATAGTTTGTTTAAGATCCCAAGAAAATATCCCAAATAGTAGTCATTTAATGCTCTGATACTAAACACATTTGATTTAACTCAACGGGGCTGACTTAAAAACAATGTGTTTCAGGTTTGGGCGTAAATGCAGTACCTAAAGATCTTGCAAAACAGGTCCTCCCATGTAGGGAAAAAAATCAAGAGAAAATGGCTTTAACCTCAAAAGAGAAAAAGAAATATTCATTGGGAGGGTATCCAAGAAATACATGTGTTTTTAAGGCATGAACAAGGAAGTCTACAGCCCTTCCCCTACCCACTATCCTCATTTGGATTACATTCTTGGTGTGAAGCCTACTCAGTAATGGCAAAGCTGTAAAAAAAAAAAAAAGATATTTACATCTTCAAGACAGTATGCATGTCTTCAAGTGCAATTGTTCTCCCCCATCTCTACAGATCCATACTATACGTGTGATTCCCTTTTACCAGAATCAGAACAGCTTAAGATAACATGTATGAAGTATTCTTTCTTTAGCCTCCTCAATGCTTTTAAATATAGGTGGCAATTGACATGAATCTCTCTCATATATATATACACTTAAAAATATATATCTTAAGATTTGTTCCTCAGTCTGTGGCCTAATTCTCATTGAGATATTAGAACTGTCTGGATGCTCTTACTTTAAATTGCAGGGGAGGATTGCATGATTAATTTAAAAAAAGAGCTCTGCAGGTAGAACAGAAACCCGTCACGTTGGGACGAAATAAGCTTGCTGATCTTTCCCTGTAAAGTTAGCTTTCAGTGTACAGGCATCACCTGCAATTTGAAGTTGAATGATCTACACAGGTATACTGCTCAATGGAAACTTAGGCCTATGCCAGCTCTTAATGACCTTTATTCCTACCCGTTTGACTTCTAAAACAGTAGAATGCTATAATCCACGTGAAACACTGGATAATAGGAGAAAAGGCAGGCCTAAATACAGGTCATAATACAGCCTCAATATGTGACTCGAGTCTAATTTTCAACACTTCAAAGTGGAAATGAATTACAATCAATATAGTATGTGGTATCTCTTACCCCTGGGCCATCTACATTAGACTTCAGAATTATGTTCAATTGTTAAATTTTAAAATTGATTACATATCCAGAAAATGTGTAAATGAAACAAAGGTGTGTTGTTTCTTTGAATGCAATTATTGCACAAAGGGTTTTTTCCATCTATATTTAATTTCAGAGCGTGCCTGTAGACAGGAGCAGTCAATTTGTACACCTCTTCCTGATTAGTTATTATGCATTGTTCCCATGTTGTCCATTCACATTATCTCGACTGTAGCCCCTGTGTTATTTAAAAGCGCCCCGGAATTGATTGTGTAAATGCAGCAGATACTTAGCCAGGTGTGACCTGGTCTGAGAATGCTGTGACCAGCCTCTGAAAATAAATGTGCCATTGTCCAGCAAAATGCACTTAATTTTAGCCTTAATTGAGAGAGAATGAATAGTAAGGTGGAATATTTCATATGGTTCACCCTCAAGCTTCTGCCTCTGGTGTTTGCTATGACTAAACAATTAATTTTAAATGCTACCAGAATGTGTAATAATTTTTAAAAGTAAAATACGAATTCCACCACCTCAGTTTTAATTTAGTGCAATATTTTCCTGTAACGCATGTGTATTTGAATAACTGTTTAAAAAAAGAGAGAAAGTTTTTAAGGTTTTGAGATCAAAGGTATACTGTCTTAACCAACAATGTATATTCTGTTATTGCTGCTGTGTTGGCTTATCTAAGGACTTGTTTTAAAAGTCTGGTTTGTCACTCCTTGTAAATCCCTACTTCTCTGTGCTCGAATGAGCATGGTTCTTACATTGCAAGGAGCAAAATCTAAAGAGCACATCTGAATATAGCTGTTAAATAAATGACTTGTGCATATCATTGTACAGTATGTGTCAACTGTGTGCCTAATGGTTCTTTCAATATCTCCCCCTTTTTCTTTAATGAAGAATGAAAACAAATTTGGAATGCCATGGTCTCTCTTTCTGACGGCTAAGAACTCTAAGTTTTTATTTGGAGTTTGCATTATGTTTGTCCAATAGAGAAGTTCAGAAAAGTACACTAATAAAAGTATTAACAAGAAAACTTTGAATTTGTCTTATTTGCTTAATTTGACTATAGCCCATGTGAAATAGCAGATTTGCTGCAGTGAGACCTTTGCAATGGTGAAATCATGTTTAGGAGAACAAAATAAAGGAGATTAAAGAAAAACGTTATTGGACTGAATGAAGCATAAGTGTAATAGCAATTGATTTAGAATAAATGTGTCGTAAGAAAACTTAATGAACCTCAAACTTCAGTGCACCCGCAATGCAACCACATTAGCTATACATAATAGCAGACCTTCCGCAAAGTATTGTGTATCTTTAGTGCAACAATTTCCGATAGGGGTTTCCCCCCCTAGGTTTTATTTTCACAACAGCTGGACCTGCATGCAAGAACTATTGTTCTACTTTATATGTAAAAAAATTCCAGCTGTTTCACATTAATCCTAACAACTCCACAGTACCAAGTTTCTAAAACGTCACTTGTTTGTCCCCTTGAAAAATGTTTATTGTAGCTCTTTTCTTACCCAGGCATCTAGTAAAATTGGTCCTGAGGAAGAAGTAAATTCATTTTTGGGGGGGGGGACCAATATGGATGACATCCAACGTTACTTATACTTAGAGCAGACTTGCTGAAATCAGTGCACCTACTTTGAGGATGGTTATCCTATGTGTTTAGATTACAGAATACATTGGATCATAAGCATAACATATGTGAGAGATCAGTGATCATTAAGAAATTACTATGAATGCAAGCTGGTGAATATGAGTGATCAGGAGTTCCCTATCTTATACAGCATGAAAATTAAACTTAATTTTATGAAAAACTTTGAGCTTCTTTTTCTGAATATGAAAACCAGCTTCCTCTCTGTACCATCCAGTGCTAACCTGGACACTCCATATCAGCAATGAACCTAAATAAACCATTTCTGAGAGCTCACGATTCACTTGAAGTAATTCAAGAGCAAGTGAAAGAAGCAAGAAAATAGTTCTCTATATTCTGTGCACACCAAAAACGATCTTTTAAGAACTCCTACTAAAGTACGTAAGTGTTTTAAGCCAGCGACTGAATCTCTCCATGTGAACGCAGTGTTGCCCTTTCACTCCGGGTAGCATTTCACCAAGCCAGTTCAACAGTAGTTGGGGATTTTACTGTTTTAGCTCTTTGGAAAAACATCTACCTGCAGGTGTTTTTCCCTTTTCTTTACGGGTGCTCATGGAGGTCACGGAAGCATGAAATCTGCCCTAATTCAGCTTAGCTGCTAATCACACAGTGAGAAAAGAAAGTGTGACTGAATATGGAATAAATGTCAGTTGGCACCTGTTTTCGCCATCTCAATTTGTTTTTCTTCTCACGGCATTTTACACCTCTTAATTTAATTTGTGACTGGCCTTTTTCTCCTTCCAGCTGTCCGGGGTTATACAACACACATTCCATTTGTGTTATCAAGGGCTTAACAGGCCCCAGCCACTGAGCCAAGCAAATTAACAGGGCTGCGCTGAACCTGTAGCCCTTCTGCTTTCTCGGCATCTTATCTCGCTCCATGAGGGTAATTCAATTCTCAGCTCTGAAATAGAGTAGGCATAGTTTTAACGTGCCTCAGAATCTTTTCCCACCCCAACTATACAATTTTTCTTAAAAATAATAATAATAAAGAAAACCTTTAGGGTGCAAACCAGAGTACACGGGTTTTGCAGATGGCGACAACGCTTCTACATTACTCCTAACAGCCAGATCCTATGCATGCTTGCTCTGAAGGCTGAAGAGCTATTTGGTTTCCATTTCATGGGTACAACACAAATAATAATCCTATTATGAGACACAGCAGATGGAGGTGTGACCTCGAAGTTTTGCTTTGATCATCCAATACACCCATCTAATGGGAAGAGCAGCTCCGAAATGTGAATTCCAGCAGCTGACTCTGCCCGGTAGCACCTTTTCCTGGAGAGCACCTGCTAAAGGTCGAGCGACTTGTTTGAAGTGAACTTTTTATGTTGTCAAGTGAGAGCTGGCTGTACTATATGAGATGGTAAGCGAGAAGCAGCACCAAGATTCATCTGAAACGTTGAGGTCAGCAGCAAGGGACCACTGCATTTTAGCATCAGTTAGTTGAGATGGGTGCAAGCTTTCGATTCTTTCTTCATTGGCACAAAGTTGCCCCTTACATGTTACATGCTCAGGTGTGATAATGGTTTAAAAAAAAGAATTCCTGGCAAGTTAGTGATTGGCAGGGTTCAATGATGCTAGGGGCACTCTCACTACTCTGTCCCATCACAAGCAGGGGACGAACACAGACCTCGGGACTTGTGGGAAAATGGTGTCTGTAGTCCTGACTGGTGGTTAGGAGCATGTACACCGTTGCTGGGCAAGAAGCTGACAGTCCTAGTTTACAAAAGGAATCTTGGGTGCCATAATTCATTAGTTAATTAAAATAGTTCTAACCCTTTAGGGATTATAGGGACAGAAAATAATAATAATAATAAAGTTGTATGTAACAACAGCAGCTAGGATTCTATACACACACAAGTGGAAGGAAGAAGTTGTTCCAACCAAAGAAGAAGGAATACGTCAGATAATGGACTACGCTGAACTGGCAAAATTAACATTGAAACTAATGATGAGTGTTTTATAGAAGAATGGGTGCCTTTTTTGGACTAAAGAAATATAGTATGATGAACTCGCAAGCAGGACTTGAGCTATGAGCAACAGAAGTAATTAGATTATAATATTGTGGTTGTGATTTGATAGAAGATAAAAAGGTAAAGGTACCCCTGCCCGTACGGGCCAGTCTTGACAGACTCTGGGGTTGTGCGCCCATCTCACTCTATAGGCCGGGGGCCAGCGCTGTCCGGAGACACTTCCGGGTCACGTGGCCAGCGTGACAAAGCTGCATCTGGCGAGCCAGCGCAGCACACGGAAACGCCGTTTACCTTCCCGCTGGTAAGCAGTCCCTGTTTATCTACTTGCACCCAGGGGTGCTTTTGAACTGCTAGGTTGGCAGGCGCTGGGACCGAGCAGCGGGAGCGCACCCCGCCGCGGGGATTCGAACCACCGACCTTTCGATCGGCAAGCCCTAGGCGCTGAGGCTTTTACCCACAGCGCCACCTGCATCCCTTGATAGAAGATAGGGTGCAGCAAAACAGGAAGAACAGCAACTCCATGGGAAAACGAGTGGGAAGTTGATAAAAATAAGAGAAAAGACGAAATTGTGTTTTGACTGTATATGTTAAAAATGTTGAAACTTAATAAAATATAATTACAAAAATAAATAAATAAATAAATCTAACCTGCCTCATATCTCAGGCACCAGGTACATATCAATTAAATCCACAATTCATAATATAATCAGCAATAATCATCAGGCAGTGAGCAGATGATGCTAAGGTGCAATCAACAACCCCAAATGCTTGAATAAACAGTCTTTACTTGGGGCCAGAGTGCCATCAATGTTGGCACCACTCAAGCCTCCAAGGGGAGAGTGCTCTATGGCTCTTGGGCGCCATAGTGGAGAAAGCCCTCTCCCATGTCTCAACATAACACACAACTCCCACCAGTGGGATGCAGGACAGGGTCCTCAAGCAAATCTTAATGCTCCGGCGTGTGTATATTAGGAAGTATGTTCCATCAAGTAAACGGGCCCCAAGCTATTTAAGAATAGCCTGCTGGATCAGGCCAGTGGCTCATCTCGTCCAGCATCCTGTGGCCAGCCAAATGCCTTTGGGATGCAGGACCTAAACACCACAGCAGTCTCCCCTTTGGGGGATTCCAGCCTCTGGCAGTGGAGGTAGAACATGGCCATCAGGATTAGTAGACTTTGATAAGCCTTTGTGAATTTTTACAATCCTCCTTCAAAGCCATCCAAGTTGGTGGCCACCACTGCCTCTTGTTGAGGCCAATTCCATAGCTTTTCCGCACTGCATGTAGGAAATACTTCCTTTTGCCTGTCCTGAATCTCCCATCGCTCTGTTTCATTGGGTGCCTCTGAGTTCTTGTGTTGTGTTGTGTTTTATCTATCCCCTTTCTCTGTATTGTGTATTATTTTATACACTTGCATCACGTTTGCCTCTTACTCTCCCATTCTCTAAAGTAAAAAGGCCCAAAATGTTGTAACCTTCCTTTGCGGGGACTTGCCCCATCCCCTTGATGATTTTCGTTGTCCTTTTCTGAACCTTTTCCAACTCTACAATATCCTCCTTGTGGTGAGATGGCCAGAGCTGTGCTCAGCATTTGAATTGTGGGTTTGCCGTAGATTTGTATTCGTATCTGATATCAGCCGTTTTATTTTCAACTCCTTTCCTAATGCTAGGAATCATCAGGAAAGGAATTGAAAATAAAACGGCTGATATCAGATACAGATACAATTCTTTCGGCATTTCAACTTCCCCAACATCAGGGTCTTTTCCAGGGAGTCTTCTCTTCTCACGAGGTGGCCAAAGTATTGGAGCCTCAGCTTCAGGATCTGTCCTTCCAGTGAGCACTCAGGGCTGATTTCCTTCAGAATGGAGAGGTTTGATCTTCTTGCAGTCCATGGGACTCTCAAGAGTCTCCTCCAGCACCATAATTCAAAAGCATCAATTCTTCGGTGATCAGCCTTTTTATGGTCCAGCTCTCACTTCCATACATCACTACTGGGAAAACCATAGCTTTAACCATACAGACCTTTGTTGGCAAGGTGATATTTCTGCTTTTTAAGATGTCCTTGAACAATTTATTATCACCAGCAAGCTTGTCTACCTCGTTGCTCATCCCAACTCTATGTGGTTTTTGAACAAGTTTAAAAGCACAGGTACCACTAAGGGGTTCCCTTGTCTACATTCCTCCATTGGCAGAACTGCTCTTTTGCAGGATGGCTCCTGAGATGAAGAAGCAGGCTTTTCAGATGCAATTGGAGGCCATTTTGAATCAAGATAATGCACTAATTTTAACCAAAGATTTCAAAACGACATTTATTTAGCTTATTCCAGGGTTTCCTCTATTTCCCTCCCGGGAGCAATTTTATTATTGGATCCTGCCTCTTTCTCTGTCTCTTTTTAGCATTATTATTAT